TTCAAAAAAAAAAAAAAAAAAAAAAAAAGGAGAGAGCTTTGCACTGACCTTGGCTTTGCTGATACAACCAACCAACACTTTCCTAGGCCTCTTCCTTATCTTAACAGGAGCTTTAGAAACCACTTCATCCTCCTTCTCTGATAGGCTGTGGTGTGAGCTCATCTTGTTTGTGACTGAATTAGAGGAAAGAAGATTAGGGAGAAATAAAGTTTTAGGAGTCCTTCTTTTACAAAGAAAAAAAGAAAGATTTAGGGTTGAACTTAACCCAAATGTTTGTTGTTCGTTCTATGCGATGAATGTTTTACAAGCACAAGACAAACTAGAACGTAAATGATAATCTGCTTTGCTGGCTTGAGATTCTCCTTCTCATCGAGGCCTGATAAAGGCCCAATATAAGTTCTTATCAGCTTCCTTCTCTGTGGAAATCATGCCGAGAGATTTAATAAAAAAAAGAAGCCTGAACCACTCTTCGAGATCCCAATCAGAGGACAGGATAATAACTGATTCTCGTAATTCATGTTGAATCTAAAGAGTTGATGTAATGGTTTTATTGGCGTATCAGTTGTATAAAGGGAGATCACAGGAAGCAGATTGAGGTTATATTGGGGAACCACTATTCCTTTACCCACCAGTTTGATCCCTACGAGTACATAACCACGAACCCAATTGCAGGTTCATGCGAAGACTATAACGGAAGCAGCACACCTTTCCTAACATGTTAATGTATTTTGATAGACAGATTTGTCACATGCATAATAACACTTGTACTCCAAACCACGTAATTCTACACTTGTAGATACTTCATAGGAAATGAAAAGCTAAATCTTCTTAATCCATAGAGTCGCATCACACAGGAACCTCTTAATCCTTTGCAAAGAGTTGCTAAATACAGAAATTCAGTACAATCTCCAAGACACCAAAGGGTTTCCACTTCCTACAAACTCAACTCACTCGCCTTAACTTTTTCCAGTGCACTGCTGCATTTAACGACCTCTGCCACGACCAGCACCACCACGCCCACGACCACCACGTCCACGCCCTCGTCCAACAGGCTTCCCTAAAGAACCAAAGAATAACCAAATTGATAAAAACAATCTTATGCCTATACAATTTACATCAAAAAATGAAGGAAGCATTCATTACCAGCAACAGGCTTCTTAGGTTTAACTCGAGGAGTGTCTTCCACAAGTAAAGTCTCCAAGTTCAAGCTATCAGGAAGAATGTAGTAACGGATATTGTTACCCCTCAAGCTTAGATGATCCATTGTCACTGGATTCTTCCCCTTGAGAGTCATTTTAACAGTCTTCAAGTGAGTGTTCATGCTCACATCAACACCTAAACAAATCATATAGCTTAGTGAGTGAACCTAATAAGTGTGTGTTCGCTTAAGCTAATGGTTCAAACTGCAAATTAACGAACGGATCGATACTAGTAAGGTAAATAGACGTTACCAGTGATGGTTCCATGGACCACGGTCCCGTTCTTCAGCTCGATCGATACAGTTTCATTGTTCAGCTTCATCAAAAACCTACTCGATCCAGTAAAACAAAATCGAAACAAACAAATCAGCTCAGAAGATCAAGAATGGGAATCGAATCTATACCTAAGGAGAATTGAAACCGTACCTGACGAGCTTCATCTTTGTGTGTGGAGACGACGAGATCGGCGACGAAACTGCAGAGAGCTGTGAAACCCTAAAACCCCTTCTTTAGCAAGCGGGCACAGATCCGACTTCTATTTTGGATCCATCATGATTTTAAAACATGTTTGGGCCGTAAAATACGGCCCATTAGTCAAGAATACTTTAAACCGGGGCTGACCATAAGCTAACCAACGATGATTAAACAACAGATTACAAATCTCTTTTTTTTTTTTACACTTGGTTTAGCTAAACCGGGTAATTGATAAGACAGAAGACGCGAACCGTAAATTCCGGAAAAGGCGTCTAAAACAAAAGCGCGCGATCGCTTGATAAACACGCGCTTGCGCGTTAAAATTGATAATTCTTAAAAATCGAGAGTTGACTGATAGATCTCGACGGTTAGAGAGATCTCTCTCCGGCGAAACTGAGCAAACCCTAACTCCCGTCAATGGCGGATCCGAGCTCCAACACGACGAGATACACTCCCCCTGGTCAAAGGTAGCTTCGCTTCTTCTCTCTCTATCCTTCCTTTCTCGTTGTTGCTAATTTGAGTGATCTTTTACTCTCTTCGTCTCTGATCTTTCTTCGCCGCCTTGCAGGAATCTCTCTGGTAGGGACAAGAAGATAGGAGGTATATTAGCTCCTTCTCTCTCTATTATCTGAATCTTCTTTGCTAGAAACGAATCAAATGAGTTCGTGATTTTGTAGAGTATCTAGTTCTGTGTAGTTACAGCGTAGATCAGAGAGATTGAAGATTGATCTGATTATGTAGATACACTAATTGATTTACATATAAATCTGTAAACGATTCGGTTGTGGATAGTTTGTAACCTCAGGAACTGTTATAGGAAACTAAGTCAGATCTTGATCTCTTTTCTTTAGTAGCGGTTCTTGAGAAATGAACAACGTTCAAGCTTAGGAGTGCAAGAGCTATATCAAGTTTTGCTTGTTATGATCTTTGTTATTTGCTAAAGTTTTTAAGAGGAATGTGCCAGATCGTGCAGGTAGCCAGCAGAACAAGGATGGTGAGAGAAGTCAGACTCAGGCTACTGGTTCTCAGATGGAGAAAGCTTCTCAAAAGATAGTCACTCTAAAGGACTGCGCTACGAGTGAAGCTTATCAGCTTTTAAACCAACGTATGAATCTGAATTGACTCTTTTAAGCATTTATGGAAGTAATATCTTTGTTCTGTGGCAGTTTCTGATCGTTTTTTATGTCAAATGTTGCTTTGCTAAATGGATGATGAGTCAGTTCTAGTTTATTAGCCATACTCCTTGTTTAAATTCTTTGAACTTTATGAGATAAAGTGTTTTAAAGTCGCTGCTTATGCATTCTGTTGATGTGTCTGTCTTAGTTATGTGCTCTTGATTTGTTGATCGAACAGGCTGGGCAACTGCAATGCATCAATACAACGACCCAACCGTGGATTTATCTGGTTAGTTTAAGTGCATTCAAAGTGTTTCCTAATTTTCTTTGTGTTAAACCTCACTGTCTAATAGATTCTTCGGCTTGAGTTGCTGGGAGTAGAATCAAAAAGTGCTTACGTTCCCTCCTTGATCTTGTGCATTACAGTCATTACATTCGAACTGATTTTCAAGTTTAACCTGCTTTTTTCTATTCCGCAGAACGACCAATCATGTACTATGGAGGAAGTGTTTGGGGTAAACTACCTCACCAGGTAGAACCAACACTCTGATATCTTTCATATGTTTTAAAGCTCTCTTTTTTAGATGTGTACATGGTCGAGACCATTTTCTAATATTTTGTGGCACGAAACAATTGCAGATCCTGGCTTCAGCGAACAACACATTGCCTCCAAAGATATCACCAGCGGATTACAGAGCTGAAGTGCGCCGAGGATTGCTGACTCCAAGAAGTTCAAGTTCCAGCAACTGAATGGTCTTTAGACTAGTGATATGGTGTTTGGTTCTTGTTGAGATGGCACAAGATATGATGTATCAACAACGTTCTTCTTTTTCTCTGGTAGGACAAAGATGATTTCTTTCTGGCTCGAGTCTGTTTCCTCTGGTCCTTGAAAGTGTAAAAACACAAACCAGAAGGTTTGACTAACAATGACGTTAACAATTTGCATAATTGGTTTGCAAATGCATCGCTCCTTTTCTTTCTTTCGAGATCCTTAGTGTCTTTAACTTCGATGGACTTAGGTAGAGCCTTTAGTAAAAGTAGTATCCAACTACTATTTGATTTAGTGTTTTGGTCAATTGAATCCAAGTATAAACTAGTAAAACCCGAAATAGAAGTAACTACATATGTGAATGTGATTATAATTTTTTAGGCTTGAAACCCCTGTCAATCGATCAATAAATGTGGCAAACCCAATAAGTAACGATTTGAAAATTGAAAGATTAATCCTAGATAGAAAGTGTACAGCAGAACAGGTTATAGCAAATTACAAAGATGGGTAACGTGATCTTTAAGGTAACGTTTACATTTCAATCATTTTTTCCAACGAAACTAACTTCACTCCCACGACACAAGTTTTTACTCTTTTGTCTTAATGTAAAAAAGACGTTCTTCTTTTATAAATTAAAAAAACGAATTCTAACGACATATTTATTTTATAATTTGTTGAATGTTCAACTGCTTCTTCGCACACTATCTCATATACTTAAAACATAAATATATATAATGGCTCGTCGTCGTCATCATCATCTTGCATTACTTTCCTCCCTCTCTCTTTCATCTTTCAGATCCAAAAACAGGGAGAAAAACAACGAACGATGAGGCTTTATTCCTCTGTTTCCTTCATCTCCCTCGCTTTAATCTCTCTTCATCTTCTACCTCTCTCCACTCAACAAGCTACAGAATCATGCAGTTCAACTCTACCTCTCAACGACCTCACCTTTGACTCATCCCTCCTTCAATGCGTCGACGCTTGGACTCCCCAAAATTACATCCTCCGAGTAAGTCTCATCCTCCATTTTCTCGATTTTTTAAAATAAAATCAAAACTAAAATTTCGAAATCTTTCTGCAGTATGCGAAAACGGTGGAGAACACGTGGAACTTCATCTTATCAGCACCCGCTTCCAGCGCCTACATAGGGATCGGATTCTCAACCAACGGTCAAATGATCGGAGCCAGCGCTATCGTCGGGTGGATACCAACCAACGGCAAAGGAGAGGCGAAACCTTACTTTCTCGGAGGGAAATCACCAGCCGAGGTGACGCCTGACCAAGGTGATCTAAAGATAGTCAACGGCTCGTTAAAGATCGAGTCAGTGTCGTCGCGGCTCTACATGAGCTTTGCGTTGACCGCGGAGACGCCGCGGCAGAGCCTTCTTTACGCCATGGGACCTGCCGGGTTCTTTCCGAGTTCGCCGGGTTTTGGGTTGAGGGAGCATCGCGAGATGACCACCACGACTATCAATTATAATACAGGTAAGCTAAAGCCGTCGTTAATTAAAAAAATAATAATACAGCTTGTTTAAATTAATTAAAGTCAATATTGAATTATTCCATTATTTTGACTGGTTAATCACTTTTAGTTCCATGAATTAGACCATTATCATGACGATTAAGAACTGATACAAGATTAGTATTGTTCTGAAATAATTATGTTGAGAGTCATTTTCACATCATACCAAATTACCAACTCTCTATTTTCAATACACCCGCCTTTGTCCAACCACCACTACTAATTAAAAATATTACTAGTTTTCTTTAAACACACAAAATTCCAAATTATCGTATTCTTTCGGCCAACAAAGAACGATATTAAGTATTTTGTCACTATGATATGCTTATTACCATATTAATGAGATTACTGGTCTCTGTAGATGTTGTAGTTTGGAGTAGTAGTTAAGTAAGTCTGCTATGTTAGATAATGAAGACAAAGAAGATATACAAGTTTTATATGAAAAAGTTTATTGATGATAGTGGAATGTAGTGAAAGTCACGTTACCATGATCTTTTCATTTAATATTAAAAGAAGCTTTACATATACATTATTTGTGTTCAAAAACATTATTAAAATATAGAACATCATTCATTATATACTGAAAAAATGTAATTTAAGAAACAAGAACTGTTTTGGAGTAATGGTATTTGTTTGTGTAAACTCCATAATTTTTCAGGTTATTTTTCTGGTATCACAGACTAATGATTTTTTTCGTTACATTTGATAAATAAAAAGGTTCGCAAAGTGTGGTTAAGGGTTCACCACATTCTAAGCTAAGGAAGACACATGGGCTAATGAACATGTTCGGCTGGGGAATATTAATCATCATCGGCGCCTTAGTGGCTCGACACATGAAGAAATGGAAACCCACTTGGTTCTATGCCCATATCGCTCTCCAAACCACTGGTTTTCTCCTCGGTTTAACTGGTATCATTTGCGGTTTAGTTCTTGAAAACCGAACCGATGCCAACAATGTCTCCACGCACAAAGCCCTTGGGATAACAATCTTTGTCATGGGCATTCTCCAGGTTCATCTTATTTTCACACTAAAAATTCAATATACCAAGAAATAACATATGATCAAAATGAATTTCCGTTTATTACATACAGGTCCTAGCGTTGCTAGCTCGACCAGACAAAGACTCGAAATACAGAAAATATTGGAATTGGTATCATCACAACATAGGAAGAGTTATGATAATACTTGCTATTTCAAACATCTTCTATGGTATTCACTTGGCTGAAGCTGGCTCTTCATGGAACGGCGGTTATGGTTTTGTGGTTGCTGCCTTGGCTTTGGCTGCCATTGGATTAGAAGTTAAAAAGTTCAAGAACAAGTGAATTCTGGTTTAAATATCTATTTTCATCTTCCTGATACAATATTTGTCTTGGATAGGACAGTGTGATGATGTATTGAACATTTATTTGACTAATCACTTGACTGAGGTCTTCTTTTCGTCATTTTTACTCTGTAGTGTTTGTTATTTTTCATTAATAAAATTTATATATAATCATGATTCCATTATTTAGCAGCATAAAAGAAGATATTTGTGATTGAATTAATGAAATTAGAGAACATGATCAACATAAAAGACAAGTTTTAAAGCTTCTAGTTGAACGAGCCAGACTTGGTTCATTTATCCAACTACAAAGAAGTTAGTTAGTTTATATTGTCTTTTTAGGGCTAGGCAATCGGGTTTCGGTTCGGGTTCATGCGAGTTTCGGTTTTTCGGGTTCATGAAATTTTAGCCCTATTCGGATATTATAAAAATTCAGGCCAGATTCAGTTCGAGTTTAGACGGGTTCAATTCGGGTTTAATAACATGTCTAAGATCCGGTTGAACCCGAAATAGTTTTGATTTTGGATATTAATCGGATTATCGGTTTTAAAAATACTAATTTGTACTTAATTAAACTCAATATATTTTCAATCGCTTTAGTAAATTTGTGTATTTAGATTTTTCAAACCATATTGTTATCCTTCAAAATAATATTGTGAAACTCGTCAATCAATCATATAAAAATTTTCATTGAATCATACGTGACAACACTAGATGTATCATGATTAATGGCAAACTAAAACCATGTATAAAAGAAAATCCTACATATAAACATAAAAATTAAAGTTAACAACTAACAATTCTATAAACATAAGAAATATTAGTTAAGTTTTAAAGAAATAATATTGTTAAAATTTCAAAATAAATTTATTCGTAACTAAACTTCAAATGTAATATCAGACATAAACATTAATATCAACCAAATAAAACTATATATATTAGACTAATTATTTAAGTTATTTATTTATGTAATAACTAAGTATTTTAGGTACTCAATAGTATCTTAATATGTTTTGAAAACATATTATAAATTCATTATAAATTGAGATTCTGTATAGTACAATTTGTTTTGAAATTTTAAAATTTTAGTTTTTTTTGGGATATCCGTTTAAGTGCGGATTCGGTTTGGATAAAACCCATTATTCGACTAAAACAAAATCCAACTAATATTTATATCGAGTTCGGACTTTTTTAATCGGATCGGATTCGGTTTTTAGATTTTTGGGTTCGGCTTTTTTTCCCAGCACTAGTTATTTCATTCGTTCCATGTGATTATTTTCCACCATTTACATAATATCAGTCTCGGAATGGTGTATTTCCACACATCAGAGCTTTTAGTTTGTTTGGGCCTTATGGGCTACGAAATCAGCCCATTTATAGTAGAAAAAAGCCCAATAACTGACGACTCGGAAACAGTCGCCGGTTTATGTTTATGCAGCCGGGATCTGACGGAGACAATCGAAAAGAGAAAGAAGAAGAAGAAAATGTTAAGAACTCGGCTTCTCTGGTTTACGCTTGGATTCTCCGTCACCGGAGCTTCCGTCGGTCATCTCGTGTGGCGGGATCTCTACGCTGAACGTTTCGCTATCTCTTCTGAGGTAAATGTTTTTTTTTTTTGCAATTTTTAAAAATCAATCATCATTTTCGCAAGCTCTCGATTTTCGTAAACCTAATGTTTTCATCAATACTGCAGATAAAAGAGAAATTCGGAGCTTTGGAAGGTAGAGTTTCAGGTCTGGAGTCTACCGGTCACGAGAACCCGAGTCCTGCTCAGGTCATCTCTATCTCCGTTAATCGTTAGTGAAATTGTCTCGTAATCTGGTGAATCAATAGAGCTGTTTCGTTGTGTTTTGAGTTTCATAGAAAGCTATTGGTTATGTGGTATTGTTCATTTGGTTTCTACAAAGTTATTTGATTTCTCTGATGTTTGAAAGAATAGTTTTGAGTCATTGAGATTCCTTCATTGCCTCAAAGCTACAAAACGTTTTCCGTTTTACTTGAGTTTTCTTGTTTTGAAACACACAATCTATATGAGTCTTTAATTTCATCTACAGAGAGATCACTGAGTGCAAATAACCAGAATAATTCGGATGTTCAGTAATCCAATACGCTGTTGTAAGTTGGTTAGATATCAATTTAGTGAGGGATCAGTTTTATAAAGGTGTATCGTCACATTGTTTAGATTGTTGATTCTGGAGCGTTTGGTTGGAAGATTGTTTGTGAGTTAGAGACTTCTATTTGCCATCAGTGTCTCAGTTTTTTGTTGCTTGTTGTACTTGTAGTTATATTATTAGTAGCTGTATAATACTGTAATGTTATAAACTTTAAATGACTCATTTGCTCTTTGGTTGATCTTGTATCAATCCCACGCTGATGTAGGACAAAATACTCCCATAAAAGAGAGCAGATCACAATGATAGTCATATTCACATGTATCGTTTCTCTTGATATGAACTTCTGGCTCACTTTGTTTTTTTTTTTTTTAGGTTGAGAGTTAAAGACTCATGGAAAGCTTCCAAGCCCCAACTCAATCAATAACTTCGTCTATAAGAGAGTGGCAATCTTTATTTGGAACTTCAAAGATACTTAGAAAATCTTCAAAAAGACTTTGCCTTTTGTATCAAGACCTCTTTCTTTAAGCAATACTTGCATTTGTGTTACAAAATCATCCGGCTTTCTTATTTATTACAAAGAAATAATGAGTACATTCGTTTCCTTCTAAAGAGTGATTTGTATATGACAATTTGCAACCTCAAACCTTGATACAAAGACCTTTTACCATAACAGTTGAAAATCTATTCACATTCTAAACGACAATACAACTCTACTACTCACTCATATATCAACGAACCATTTGCTAAAACAAACATCCACAGATCACTGAAACTGTAAAGGAGACTAGTAACTCTATGAGTCAGGAGAAAGCCTGCATCCTATCATCACTACGAGTGGAAACTCTTTACATCCCCTGATTTATTCGTTTCTTCATTTATCCCGGACTATACTGAGCTTTTTTTTGGACAGAACCAACCATAGATCAAGACTTTCGTTGATGGGGAGGTGGAGGTGGAGGGCGAGGGAGGATTGAATTCGCCAGCTCTTCGTTCAACTTCACAGGAAGAGCTGGCATCTGCCTCATAACTTCTGGCATGTCATTCAAGCTGCAACATAATTGTTCAATCAGTACATTACAATGGATTCAAAAAGAGCTAATGACAAAGAAATGATATGTAGATATATGTGTAGATGTATTACTCATTCAATATTGCGAGAATATTGTCTCGAGCTTTGCACAAGATATTGACGTTATCATGTATCTGCAAAAGAAGAAAGAATCTCTCAGAATTACACAATTTGGATAATAACAAGTGCCAGCTTAAAACGGAAATAGTAAGTATATATTAAGGATTGCTCAAAAGCCAACAATACAAGTCAAAGAAACAAAGCTGAAAAGCTGAGAATGGAAGTTGCATTCACCTGGAAAGCAGAGAAATTTGAAGAAACTTGGTTGAACATCTGAGCATTTTGTTCAAGAAGATCTCCACTCACACCACCAATAGCTGCAAAGGAGACAAGACAAGACACTTCTTAATGTTTCTTCAAATCCAATCAAAAGAAGAAGAAAAAACACAAGATTATTGAACAAAAGAAAAACCTTTATATGAAATGCCATCATCAGTATCTAAAGGCATCATAGGAGGAGCAAATGAAGGACCATTCGGATGCACATTCAAATGAGATGACGACTTTGCCGAAGTATCCGTAGTTTTTTCCTGCCAAAACAGATACATAAAGAAGAGATTCATTTGCTAAGTAAATAAACTAAAAGTTCAATCTAGTTACACATTAAATGAACCAAATCAAAACCTAATGTAATGTTATGTGCATCAACTATCTTTATTTGATTCATAGCTTCACTATTATAATCAAAACTCCACATACTTTCTTATCTTTACTCTTCCTTGAGGAATGGTCTTCTTTCCTACGCTTTCCATTTTCCTTCTTCTGCAAACCAATCAACAATCAATACACTCTTTACAAATGAATAAAGCCAAAGAAGAAGGAGTAATAATCATTACAGTCATCCATCTACAACGAAGGGCAACATCTCTAACAGTCTTATCCTTCATCTTCATAGCAATCTTCGCATACCGAACAATCATAGGATCTGACGCGTACCTTTACACAAAACCATCATAACAACATAAAGCACCAAACTTTTCGAAAAGACAAATAAATCTAAAGAGAAAGGAGAATACTTTGCGAGCAAATCTTCCAATAAAGATTGCTCCTCATGAGTCCAATCCGTAGAGATCCCTGGATTATGCCTCAACGCGCTAACCGTCTGCGAATTCTCCACCGAACCGTTATCAACCGAATTCACAGCACCGCCACCGTTCGTCGCCGATGAAGACGATACCTTTTGACCCGCCGCCGAGGAGCCTTCCTGATTGTTCCCCGGCGGATTAGCGCTCGCCGCCATCAAAGACAAAACCTTTTTCGGTGTAAAATTAGATTCCTTTTTCCTCTCACCGGAGAGAGTGACAAAATCGGGAAAATTTGCAAGGATTTCAGATGGTGACAGCGCCGGGATAGGAACAGAGAGCTGAGCTTCTTCCCCTCGAAATATGGAATCTTTTTTTTTTTTTTTTTTCTAAAAAAGAAGTTATTTCTATTAATTTCGTATTTATCCTTTTTCCGGCTTTTTTTTCTATTTTTGAGATGTCTACTACGTAGTTTTTCATAAATTCTACCGTACTCATCTATAGTTTCTAGTTTTTACAATGGATTGTTTTTAGAGTGATTTAGCTCAAAATACCAAAAGAAGTAGATATTTAGGGATTTGCCATATTTTAGGGGGGAAAAGTAATGATGGGGGGAAGGAAAGAGAAGAGATAAATAGGGTATGGAGCTAAATAAGGTGTTTTGTGTGTGTATGGAGTGCAAATACTCTTGTTTTTAACAGGTAAACTGTTGTCGACATCCAAAAAAATGACCAGTTTTGATTATTTATATAAAAATTTCAATAGAGGAAATGACTAGAATAGAATTAAAAAAGTTTTTATCACAAATATATAAATATAGACATAAACAATTAAAATGATCGAAATAGCATTTAAATATTTTATTAAATGTATATTTATATCCCTTGGTTTAATTAATTCTATTTTTCTTTATATAGAGTTGAAGACTGAAGTTTTGGGGATAATGTTTCGAATTTAAAATATTAAGAAAACTTAAAATTTTCAAAATAAAAATGTGCTATTTTGGTTATTTTAATTATTGAGATCTATTTTTGTGATAAAAACTTAAAAAAAAGGCTATTTTAGAGAATTTCCCATTTCAATATAGTAAGATTTTTTTCTTTAATTTCCAGATGAAATATATTCCAAAAACATAAAAATGATACACAAGATTGCACGAACTGAAAGAAATTTCTCCGAACCAATAGATATTTTCTTTTACTTTAGTTTTTGTTGTAAAAAAAAAGTTTATTACGTTGATTTTAGTAATTACGAGGCTTTTTTGGCAAAGATCGGAACTTTCAGGGTCTGAAATATAATAACCTAAAAGAAGAAAGTAATCCTTTTGTTTTCTTTCTATCTTCTCCAGGCCCCTCCTTCTTTGTCTTCTTCTTTCTCCGTCCGCTCTCTCTCTCTCTCTCCGCGCTTGAAGGTAGGTAGACGTCGGAGACTTCCAAAAAGTTCTTCTAATCGTGTCGGTTATGGCGTCGTCAGGTTAGTTAATTCGAAAATCAATCGATCTGAATCAATTTTATTTTTTTCGGATTGCAAAGTGATGCCTTTTCTTAATCAGAGCATAGTAATCAATGATTTAATGAAGGTTTTGCTGTTTTGTAATGATTAGAGTTCAGTTTTTTTTTTTTTTTGTGAGAGTATTAATTATTCAGTTACATGTAATAACTACTTTAAGTTTGTGTCTGATGTAGGTGGAAGGCCTCCTAAGCCTTGGGAAAAAGAAGGGAACAACAACAACACATCTGGTCCTAAGCCTTTTAGGCCTCCTTCAAATACTAGTACGGCTGCTTCTGTTGAGGCTTCTGGCACAGCTAATCCCGGTGAAGTAGTTTCGTCTGTGAATAGGACTAATACAGCTGCTAATGTGAATGGACTGAGTAGACCTGTTCCTACTAGGCCTTGGGAGCAGCAGAGTTATGGTGGTATGTTTTTTATACTGGTCTCTTTGACTAATACCACTGCTAATGCCTTTTTTTTGTTGTTGTGTGTAATGCAGGTTATGGTTCAAACCTAGGTATGAACTCTGGTACCTATGGTTCAGGGTTAGGTGGGTATGGTTCGTCTTATGGGGGTGGAATGTATGGTGGTAGTGGCGTGTATAATAGAGGTGTTTATGGTGGTGGTGGTGGTGGTCTTTATGGAAGTTCAGGTATGTATGGTGGTGGTGGGATGTATAACAGCAGTTTTGGTGGTGGTTATGGTATGGGTATGGGGACAGGAATGGGTATGAGTATGGGAATGACTCCTTATGGTGGTCAAGATCCAAACGACCCTTTTAATCAACCTCCTTCTCCACCTGGCTTCTGGATATCCTTTCTCCGTGTGGTATTTTTCATACCCTTGATGCTAGTTTTAGAGAGTTGTATAACATTTAAAGTGTTGATGTTTTGTTTTGATGTCAGATGTCAGGTGCTGTGAATTTCTTTGGCCGTGTAGCGATGCTGATTGATCAAAACACACAGGCCTTTCATATGTTCATGTCTGCCCTTCTTCAGGTTCCTACTAACTTGTCTTTTTATTGGTTCCTCTAATGGTTTCATTCTCCAAGCGTTAACCATTTAAACAATTTGTCTTCTCAGCTATTTGATCGTGGAGGTATGTTATATGGAGAATTAGCAAGATTTGTATTGCGTTTGCTTGGGGTGAGAACAAAACCTAGAAAGATGCAGCAGCAGCAGCCACAAGGGCCTAATGGTCTCCCTTTACCTCACCAGCCACATGGAAACCAGAACTACATCGAGGGTCCTAAAGCCGCTGCACCAGGTGGTGGTGGTTGGGACAATGTATGGGGTAACTAACTAAGTTACTTCTGATACACACCTTGAGAATCAGTTGGTTACAAATGGAAATACAAGTCATGCAGCTGCCTACCTCCAAAGGAGATTGGGTTGTACAAAAGCTAGAGTTTCTTTACAAGTCGACTCTCTTCTTTTTCTTTTTTTCTTTATCTATCATCTCTCTCTTCTCTGCTTGCTGGTTGTGTGATAAACAAGTTGCAGATATAGATGTCGAACTGAATAAAATGGAAAGTGAAGTTGTAATTATTCCAAAAGTGGTATTCATATGATATTCACCCGTATAACATTTTGATTCTTTATTACAACATTGAAGCCTATTGTGTCTTGCATTTCCGTTGGAAAGACCAATACATTGGTACAAATTTATACTTCATCCTCGTGTGTACAGTCTCCAATCTGGTCCTATAACCATAACCTCTTCACTCCTGAGTGTGACATCTCCTCTGTGTAATTTAAACATCTCAATTGCTGTAGACGTCAGCCTCGCATTCCCATTCATATACAGTATCTGTAGATTCTTGCAACCGCTTCTTATGCCAAGCAAGCCTTGATCACATAAGTTCCTACAACGGTTCACATGGAGCTTCTTCAAGTTACGGCACCACTTTCCCACAGCTTCCCATCCCAAAACCCTAACTTCATGACACAAAGCCAAGTTCCACTCTTGTAACAACGGACAACCTCTTGCTATAGCTTTGATGGATTCATCACCAACCGTTCTGCACATCCTTAAGTTCAAGACTCTAAGTTTTGATGCAATCCCTGACCCAATAGGTACCAAACCATCTTTGCCAATGTAGCAAACTGCACCTGAGATGTTTAGAAACTCAATCCCACCTCCGCTAACGATCCCTGCTATACCTTTAGGCTCAAGCTGACAAGACTCAGCATCCACATAGCCTAGAGATGGAGAAGAGCCAGTAAACCCAACACCTGTTATGCTCTTGCAGTTTGAGATCTTCACTGACTCAAGCTGCAAGCACGCTTGTGTCAGTGCTTTCACTCCAAAGTCAGACACCAGAGGGCAATACGAGAGATTCACACATCTTATAGCCAAGGAAGCCTTGGCTAGTGTTTCTAACCCAATGTCACTGATACTACAACGGTAGAGACTAACCACTCTTAGATTAGGACAAAAGCTAGCAACTGTGGAGATCCCATTATCACTAACCCCATAGCAACAATCTAAGTGAAGACTAAGCAGTCTTGCACCGGGAAACCTCAGAGAGGTCAAGCTCAAATCATTCAGCGCCGTGCAGCCAGAGAGTGAGAGATGCTCCAACCACTGAAAACGAGTGAGAAGCCTATGGAGATGTTCTGAGTTCACATCAGGGTTTCTCTGAGAGAGAGTTGGAGAGTTGAGAACAGATAATGAACACTGGAACTGGAGAGAGCGACGGTTTATGTTTTGGATGTTGAGAAAGCGATGACAAGTCAAACCGAATGAATCATGGTCATCGAGATTAGCAAGTCGTTGGTAGATAAAGGAAAGACAATCATCAGGGAGGTTGGTAATGGAGGTGGACACTGACACATTCTCCATCTCTACCACTTCAGTTTCTGTATAAATAGACAACAAAGTATTGATCTTTTAATACAGAACATAAAAACTCAAATCTGTTTTGTCAGAGAATCTTAAACGAAGATTGGAATAACTCAACTGATGATTTTGTCTGTAAATCAAGTCAGATAAACCTACACATGTCGGAATACCTTCACTTCAGAGTTTGAACCAGACAAAACAAAACAAGATCAACGAAAACAATACACATTGATCCAACTAATCTCAATTAGAAAACCATAAACCTAAGAGACTCGTAAAAAGCGAGACTTTGAGACTCGAAAGAAGATCTGGATTGAATTGGATGGAGCAGAAACAGAGACGTCACGGAAACTCAAAAGCATATGCAAACCCCACACAGAAAAATCCAAACTTTATCGATGAAACTGATCGTTAAGTAAAAGAATGATCGCTCAATCCATGATCCAGCTGCCACACACAGAGCTGAAGCAGAATTTTTCTTTTTTTTTACATCACTGTATTGTGTGAAGTTACGTCACCGTGCCGTAGCTTTAGCATCGCATTCCCTAAAAACGCATCGTGGCCGTTGATTTTTATACTTATCATTTAGACAAGAGTTGAACTCAGACTCACCTAGTGGTGTACTGTTTGATGAAAATGCTCTTATTAGGCTGTGTTGGATTTTGTTGGAGTATTTGGAGCCGAGAATAAAGGAGAAGACGTTTGAATAAGACTTGGATCAAGTCAAGTTTCAGTTTGAAGAGTCCTAGTATTATGGAGTTTCTGTTCCTGTTTTTATGCATCTTTTGTAGTTCGTAAGTTGCTTGTAAAAGGCTTATATAAGTCCTTGTCGAGTTGATCAATAATAATCAGAGTTTTCAATTTCCAGAATCAAATCTTTTACTTTACAAATTGGTATCAGAGCAGGCACTGGAGATTGAAAGCAAGAAGAAGCCGCAGCTTCAGAGACAAGTGAAATGGAGGATGAAAAGATGAAGTTGCCACACTTCGATGGCCATTGGGATCACTGGAGCGAAGTGATGGAGAATTTTTTCAGAGCAAAGGGTTTGTGGAGCATGATCGAGAACGGGTTTGAAGAGCCTTCGATCACCACGGTGTTAACCGAAGAGCAGAGACGTCAACTTGACAATGCTAAGACCAATGATCACAAGGTTAAGCATTTCCTCTATCAAGCCATAGACAGAACGACATTTGAGCAGATCTTGGACAGGAGAAACTCCAAGGTCATCTGGGAATCAATGAAGAGGAAGTTTGGTGGGAATGATCGTGTGAAGAAATCTCTCCTGCAGAAGCTGAGAAGGGACTTCGAGATACTGGAGATGAAGGAATCTGAGAGCATAGATGAATACTTTGCTCGAGTAATGACGATCTCGAATCAGATGAGAAGCAATGGTGAGACGATGGCTGATACAAAGGTGGTGGAGAAGATTCTTAGGACTCTCACTGAGAAATTCATGTACGTGGTGGTTTCAATCGAAGAATCAAAGGATGTGGATGAAATATCTATTGATGAACTGCAAAGTACGCTGGCTGTTCACGAGCAAAAGTTCAAAAAGCCAGAGAAAGGGGAAGAGCAAGTCCTTAAGGTAACTCACGGTGAAGATATGGGAACCAGAGGAAGGAGATCAAACTGGAGGGGAAGAGGTCGTGGCCGAGGAAGAACGTCATTTGACAAGAGCACAATCGAGTGCTATAAGTGTCACAGACTTGGGCATTATCAATACGAATGTCCAAGGAATGCTGGAGAAGCCAACTATGCAACTATGGAGGAACATGAAGATATGTTGTTGATGGCTGTCATTGAAGAAGAAGGAAGCGAAGAGAAGACTGAGACTGAGGAAGAAGATAACAGAGAAATGGTGTTGATGACAAGCAAGGGAAAACAAGAGGCTGAAACAAAGAAGACGTGGTACTTGGATTCTGGTTGCTCAAATCATATGACAGGAGAAAAGCAAGCATTCTCAACCATTGATCTCACATTCAAACACTCAGTCAAACTCGGAAACAACAAGCGAATGGAAGTCATGGGCAAAGGGAACGTAAAGCTAAAGGTGAATGGAAAGATATACACTGTCTCAGATGTGTATTACGTACCAGAGCTGCGAAACAACCTTCTAAGCCTTGGACAACTCCAAGAGAGGAAGCTGACAGTCATCATAAAAGAAGGGTGCCTGAAGATATACCATAACAACAGAGGTCTGATAGCGGAGAGCAAGATGAGTGTGAACCGTATGTTCATACTCATTGATCAAACCGGTGATGAAGACAGAGCTCAACAGTGTTTTCAAACAACATCAGAAAATACATCAAAGCTGTGGCACGAGCGCTATGGACACCTCAGCTACAAAGGCATGAAGATGTTGCAGAGCAGAGGAATGGTACGAGGTCTTCCGGCGTTTGATGCAGTACAGTACACATGCTCTGATTGTCTTGTTGGTAAACAATCTAGAAATTCCATTCCTAAGAGAAGCACGTGGAGGGCAGAGGAAGTGCTTGAGCTGATACACTCAGATATCTGTGGACCAATCAGCCCTACATCGAGCAGTGGAAAGAGATACATTCTGAGCTTCATTGACGACTTCAGCAGGAAAGCGTGGGTATATTTTTTGGAACAGAAATCTGAAGCTTTCTACTCTTTCAAGTGTTTTAAGGGAAGGGTAGAGACTGAAACTGGAAAGAGACTGAAATGCCTCAGAACAGATAGAGGAGGTGAGTACACATCCCATGAGTTTGACAATTACTGCAAGGAGAATGGGATTCGGCGCCAACTCACCACGGCGTACACTCCACAGCAGAACGGCATCGCTAAAAGGAAGAACCGGACAGTTATGAACATGGTCAGATCCATGTTATCAGCAAAGAAGGTACCAAAACTCTTTTGGACAGAAGCTGTGAATTGGACCTTTTATATCTTAAATAGGTGTCCAACGGTTGCTGTGAAGAATGTCACACCTCAAGAGGCATGGAGTGGGTTCAAGCCTAGTGTGGAGCATCTCAGAGTATGGGGAAGCATCGCTCATGTACACATTCCAGATGAGAAGAGAAGAAAGCTTGATGATAAGAGCACTACATGCGTGATGCTTGGGTTCTCGGAAGAGTCGAAAGGATATCGCCTCTACAATCCTAAGACTAAGAAGATTGTAGTCAGCAAAGATGTAGTTTTTGAGGAGGACAAGGGGTGGAATTGGGAAGAAAACCACAGTGAAAACACTGCGTTGACATGGGAGGGTGACTGTGAGCTGGAACTTGATGATAATGGAGAAGAAAATGAAGTTGAAGAAGTGCAGGAAGAGCAAGTTCAAGAGGAGCAGGCTCAGGTGGAACATGCTCAGGACGCGCCAGCTCATGAGGAACCAACAGTAGGAGCTAGAGAAGGTCGTACAAGAAAAAAACCCAGCTACCTGAATGATTATGAGCTCTACTGTGAGGAAGAAGTCAACATGGTGGAGATGAATCACTGCGATGATCCTGCAGTTTTTGAAGAGGGCGCAAAAAGCTTGAAGTGGAGAAAAGCAATGGATCAAGAAATGAACTCCATTGAGAAGAATGAGACATGGACACTCTCAGATTTGCCGGTTGGAGCTAAGTGCATTGGAGTTAAGTGGATCTACAAGACAAAGTTGAACGAGAATGGGGAGCTAGATAAACACAAGGCACGTCTAGTAGCTTAAGGGTACTCACAAGAGCATGGAATCGACTATACAGAAGTCTACGCACCAGTCTCAAGGATGGACACTGTGCGGACAATCATAGCCATCGCTGCTCAGAGGAAATGGGACATCTATCAACTAGATGTTAAGTCTGCATTTCTGCATGGAGTTCTCTTGGAAGATGTCTATGTAGAACAGCCTAAAGGGTACACGGTTAAAGGCCAGGAGGACAAGGTGTACAAGCTCCAAAAGGCCTTGTATGGATTGAAACAAGCCCCAAGAGCTTGGTTTAGTAGATTGGAAGAGTATTTCACTAAGGAGGGGTTTGCAAAGTCAGAAAATGAAGGTACGTTGTTCTTGAAGAAGAGTAAGAATGGGAAGTTCTTGGTCGTAAGTGTCTATGTAGATGACCTTATTTACACAGGAGATGATAGCGCAATGATAGAAGAGTTCAAGATGTCAATGCAAAAAGAGTTTGACATGACAGATCTTGGGAAGATGAGGTTCTTCTTGGGAATTGAAGTAGTGCAAACACCAGACGGCATACACATATCTCAGACGAAGTATGCTTTTGAAGTGTTGAGGCGTTTTGGAATGGAGGATTGCAATGCCGTATGCAATCCTATTGTACCTGGCTGTAAACTCGACATGGATGAAGGAGGAAAGAGCATGGATGAGACTCTCTACAAGCAGATCGTAGGAAGTCTTATGTACCTTACTACAACAAGACCTGATTTACAGTTTGTGGTAAGCTTGCTAAGTAGATACATGTCAAAACCGACTGATCTCCATCATCAGGCTGCAAAGAGAGTCCTAAGGTATGTGAAGGGTACAATGGATTATGGTATTTGGTACAGAAAAGGAGGAAGAGGTGAGCTGTTAGTTTACACTGATAGTGATTTTGCTGGAGACATGGATAGAAGGAAGAGCACATCTGGATATGTATTCTTGCTAGATGGAGCAGCAGTGGCATGGTCATCTAAAAAGCAACCGATTGTAACCCTTTCTACCACTGAAGCAGAATACGTTGCAGCTTCAGTGTGCGCATGTCAAGCCATCTGGTTCCGAAAAATTTTAAGAGAGTTGTGTTGTGATGTTCAAGAAAGCACTACAATCCTATGTGACAACACTTCAGCCATCAAACTCTCTAAAAACCCTGTGTTTCACGGAAAATGTAAGCATATCGACGTTCGCTTTCATTTTCTAAGGGATTTGGTAAATGATGGGGTCATTCAGTTGAAGTATTGTGAGTCAAAAGAGCAAGTTGCAGACATCCTAACTAAACCATTGAAGCGAGAGACCTTTGTGAGCTTGAGGAGCAGACTTGGAATATGTTCAGCAGAAGGTAAACTAAATTCATTACATGAAGTTTAGTTTAAGGAGGATATGTTGGAGTATTTGGAGCCGAGAATAAAGGAGAAGACGTTTGAATAAGACTTGGATCAAGTCAAGTTTCAGTTTGAAGAGTCCTAGTATTATGGAGTTTCTGTTCCTGTTTTTATGCATCTTTTGTAGTTCGTAAGTTGCTTGTAAAAGGCTTATATAAGTCCTTGTCGAGTTGATCAATAGTAATCAGAGTTTTCAATTTCCAGAATCAAATCTTTTACTTTACAGATTTGACATTTGCTAACTGTTTCTGTAACCTGAAGATTCATAAGTTTGTATTCATACTTGAATCTATTTGTCTTAAGTGATGTGATTCATATCATCATAGGTTATTTTCTTTAATTTGCATCTTCATTTTTTTGAAAAATCACTCACCAAAAGGTAAAAGAAAACAATTGTATTATCTGTCTGTCTCCTTGGATGTTGTGAAGTGGTTGGACTTTTGCATATTAATTCCTCCACCAATGTAGCGCATGTAAGTCTTCATCGTCTAGTTTGTGTTCACATATGTTCTTGAGATCCTCTTTTGTTTCTTTAATCTTTGGGCAGGGAGTTATCAACACAATGGAGATAGGTACGTAAAAATAACCACATGGTGTGTTGTAACAAATCCTAATATGGCCAAACCCAAGTCTTCTCCTTCTCTTGTCCTGTTGTTGCATAATCACTCTTCAGTCTCTTCTCATCACCATTCGTCTTAGCCCTCTTCCTCCTTTGATTAAATTTTATCATTCATTCATGCCTTATTAGTTAAGAATATGTAAAACATACGTGATAAAAGCATTTCAAATTAATAAACTAATTAATTTCCATGATTTGCAAAAGCCCACCGAAAAAAATAGATAAGACAAAGCATGCTGCCATTACTTGTTCTACTTTAATTTACTTTTTCTTCTCTGCTACTGTTAATAGACTATTTACATTTTAAATTCGATTGCATAGTAGTATTTCACAACATGAAAATCACAATATTTATCAAAAAAGCAAGCTATGTGATCTAGTTGTTTTCCTCGTAGATAAAGGTATTATGGCCTTTAATAATGATTTTGCATAGAAAGAAAAGATAGTGTTTCTTTTTTATTTTTGTTCAACAAGATAGTGTTTATTATTATTTGAAATAGTAGGCATAGGAGTAAAGAGGACATTAAAAGTCAAAAAGATTCTTTTGAAAGCAGAGGACCCAGAACTGTTTCATGTAATTATTGCATTTCATATACGTTCTTCCCTCCCTATAGATTTTATATTAAATATTCTTTAATTAATTTCAAAAGAGTAGCAGTAGAAGAAAGAGTACACACTATAGCTTGGTGTCAGTAAACTCATCATCCTCAGATACTAGTGCGCATTGCAGAACATCAACACACAAACTCTCTCCAAGAAAACCACCAAATATGAAAGGTGTCATCATCTTCTTCCTGCTATCATACGCATCCTCTCACTTACCTTGCGCCTCACCGGTCAGTTTCACTCGCCGTCACCTCTCACAAGCTCCTCTAACTGATCCTTCCACTTCAACTCCTACAGGCTTGCCTTTCTTCCCAGCTGACGGCTTAACCTCCCCTTCTCCTCCTCCTCCACCTCTTCCTACTCTCCCTATGCCTCCTCCGGCTCCTCTCCCACCTTCCTCCCCCACGTACGCCACTTTTCCGGCGAACATCTCCGCACTCGTCCTCCCTCGCTCCCCAAAACCACACACCGCTTCAAAAACACTCCTCATCCCGGTTATCTCCGCCGTTCTTGCCGCCGCAATAGCCATCGGAGTAGCCTTGTTTCTCTACGGAAAATGGCGAGGGCAGAACCGTAATTTCAAAGACGATCCAAAGAGCGTAGTAGCTTCAGACATAACTACATCAGAACAAGCTCCATGTCCCCTTCCAAGAAACACTGAAGACAAACTCACAGTGTCTTCTTCAACCTCCAATGTTCTCTACCTCGGAAACGTCTCCACTTCCGGTTTCGTCAAACCGGAGTCACCAGAGATCTGCCCTCTCCCTCCATTGTCTTCTCGTAGCTTCCAACAACAAAGCTCCGAAGAAGAAGAAGAGGAAGAAGACGATGACTTCTACTCACCTCTAGCTTCTATAGCTGGTAAAGAATCAAGAAAACAGAGTAACAACAACAACAATCCATACAGTGATAACTACTCTTCAACCTCTGATTCTCCAACAACGTCACCGTCCGTTAACAACAAGAGACACCACCACGTGTCGTCTCTGAGAATGTTCACTCTCTGGAACCAGAATCTCGGTTTCCCACGAATCTCCTCTGCTTCCACTTCACCTGAGAGAGGAGGAGGAGGAGGAGGAGACGCATACGCACGTTCCTCCATGTACTCATCAGTCTCCACCACTCCTGATCGTTTCTTCTTCCGCAAGGTTCTCGAAACCTCCTCCTCGCCGCCGAGGTGGAACGACTTTAGTCGAAGTGTCAAGTCTTTGTTCCTCTCTTCCGCTTCTCCCGCTAGAGATGATTACTGTATCAACATCTCTGAGTCTTCAAGAAATTTGAAGTCAAAAACAGAGCTTGATGATACAAAACAGAGTGTTTCGGTTGCTGTTCCGGCTCCGGAGGAGCGGCCACAGCTTGTGATGCCGGCGCCACCACCTATTGTGCCGCCGTCACAGTCTTTTATGGTTCAGAAGTCTGGAAAGAAGCTGTCTTGGGATGCAGGAACAGAGAGGTTAAAGACAAAGATGAAACCTTTGCCTTGGGAGAGAGTACGAGCAAGTTCTTCTTGTCGGAAGAACACGTGGGAGAGTGTAAAGTTTAACTCTTTGAATGGTAATCCGAAGCAGAGAAGTCTTAGCTGTGATCTTCCGATGTTTAATCAAGAGAGTAGAGTTTTGGATCCGAGAAAGTCTCAGAGTATTGCTTTTCTACTAACTACACTTGATCTCGCTACAAAAGATGTTTGCCATGCCCTTCGAGATGGTATATCATCAGTTATTACAAAGGTTATTTATTTGTATTGAGTTGAATCTGAGGTTGTTTTTGCTATTTTTGAACCAGGTCAATATGAAGCGCTTGGAGTTGAGCTTCTTGAGAGTTTATCAAGAGTGGCACCGAGTGAGGAGGAAGAGAGGAAGTTGAAGAGCTATAGTGATGATGAGGATTCAGTGATCAAACTTGTTCCATCAGAGAGGTTTCTCAAGGAATTGCTTAATGTGCCTTTTGTGTTCAAAAGGGTTGATGCGTTGCTCTTTGTTGCTACTTTTGAATCCAAGATTGAACAGTTAAAACAATCATTTGGCGTTATACAGGTATATAATATAACATATGAATGTCTATGTTGCTGTAAGCTTGTGTCTCATAAAGCTATCTGATTCTTTTGCAGGCTGCTTGTGAGGAACTACGGAACAGCAGAATGCTGTTGAAGCTTATTGAAGTTGTCTTAGAGACAGGAATGAAGAGCGTGAATGCTCACAGCTTCAAACTTGAGGCGTTGTTAGATGGTGGAACCAATCTCTTGCATTCTGTTGTACATAACATCATAGAATCAGAAGGTATCAAAGTGTTGCAAGTTGTCAGAGATCTCAGTTTAGCACTTGTAGATGTCAAGAAAACTGCAGAAATGGACTATGGTGTTCTAAGAAGCGACGTGGCAGAGCTTTATCAAGGATTCCAGAGAGTTCAGGAGGTTCTGCTACTGAGTGATGAAGAACAAGAATGTGGGGAATTCAAGGAGACAGTGACCAAGTTCTTGGAAACCGCTGTAAAGGAGACTAAAAAGATTGAAACAGAAGATGGTTCAACGCTCTTTGCAGTGAAAGAGATCACAGAGATATTCCATGGAGATTCAACAAAGGAAGAAGCTCAGCTATTGAAAGTATTCGTGATCGTGAGAGACTTTCTGTCAATTTTAGATATAGCATGCAATGAAATGGAGGTGAACTGAGAAAAGAGTACTCTGGCTTAGGTTTCAAGTGTAAGGAAGATCCTAGAATCTGTCCAAAGACTGATGATGATGCATTGTGTTGCCTCCTTAATTAGTTATGTACTTATGCTTGTATGAATCGTTGGTTCTTAAGTGAAATTTTACTTGATTTCTGTATCAAAGCAATTATCTCAATGGATTTACTTTACATAACAGGAAAAGCAAGAAAGATGATTTGAGAGTTGTAGTTTTCAGACCAAACCAATCTACTATCAATCAATTTAAATAAGAAGTTACATACATGGAAAAAGCCTGTCTACTTCAGTGAGTCTAAGACTATACTTGCAACTGTGAACATATGAGTGATCTTGTGTGTCATCAATGGAACCTAAACCTATACATAATAGAGCTCATCTTTGACACCAGGATCATTCCAAAGCCATAAACTGATCTTTCCTTACGTGCTTCAATCATTAAGTGCTTGAACTTACTAGGGAAATCACTTAACAGGGATTATGCTGCAAATTTTGAGCTCTGAAGATCTGGTGAATCAATGCTACTCTTGCTCTAAATTCCGTCAAGAATCCCATCAATCGCCTGAAAGATCTTAGATGCTACAGTCTCATCGTCTGTTATAATAGTAGTACACATCTCTGAGGTCTCTACCATTCCACTGCTAGGATTTGTTAGATGGATTATACTCTTGTCTTCTGATCCATTCTCACCTATGCTGTGCTCTATCGATCCGGTCACACTCATTTTCATTAACGCGTCTAATAGTGTTTCAGGAGCCACAGAGCCCCAATGCCTCAATGGCCTAGTCTTTCCTGAATCTTCTTCCTGATCCAACCCGGAAACCAATCTCTGTTTCCCATTTTCCATTACAAGTTCACCTTTCAACCTTGCAATACCAAAGTTCTCACGTTGTCTGAGTTTTTTCCAGCTTAATTTGGTGGCTAACTCTGCCATTATCTCCACGTCTGCATTGTCTGCAATTCTTGCCAGACTTAGCGTCTTATTCTCAGAGTAATTCAGGATAGATGTTGTCTTTATCGCAGAAAGATTGATCCTCTGGTTGACAACATCAGGGACCTATTTACAAAATGCTATCAGATTGATGAACACAGACAGTCAACAAAGCATAGGAAGTGAATCGTTACCAAAACAATCTTTGGCTTCAAAAGGGAAAGAAGTGATGGGAGCTTCTGCAACCTGCAAAAGAACTTATAGTAGTTGAGCAATGTTGTCAAGCAAGTTACAGTTATACAGACAGGCAAATCTTACCTAATTCCAGAACGAAATGAACATTGGAGAATCTTCATAGCGATTGGTCTGAAGGGTAGAAGTCCTAAACCTGAACTTATACCGTCCTGCAACACATATTTCTCATAAGATATCTTGACTAGAGAATCACATTGGATCATCTGATGGAGCTAGGGAAGAGAGAAATAGATTAGAAACCTCAAGAACAAGTAATGATTTTGGATCTTCACGCCAACGCTGAAGAAGTTGGACAGAAGGTCCAAGCCGCAAACTCCAGTGAGGAGCAAACAGTATGCATGGTTCTTGCCAACTTGTTCTGTTTAGCATAACGTAAATAATAGTTATACTATAGCTTGTATCTGAACTAGGGAATGGACTTATGTTGAACCGAAATGATATTTTCAATTACAAATTAGCATGACATGTGTTTGCAAACAATGCGTTTAGGGCCAAAACTACTTATCAGTATAGTAATCATAGAGATACAAAGATGAAAAGCAATACTAGAAAACAACAAGTCTTACATTAAGTTGGGTGAGTGAATGGCAGGAAACAAATGGATCTTCTTGTCTTTAATGAACTGAAGATGACCAAATGATGGTTCTCCTGAAATTAACTGCGACATGGATCAAAACATAATATATAATCTACAATATGAATCAACTTTTAAATAAAGATTTAACAGAGATTAACAAGTCACATAAGTATACCTTCTCCTGTCGTTGCTCGCACAGCCACTCTGGTATGGTGTTCGCGTATGCCAATAGCTCTTCTGCCACAGAAGATATTACAAAGATTGGAACCTAAGCACAACCATACTAGAATAATTTAGTCTTATTGAGTTAAGCATCACCATTTTAAATGTGGTTCATATCCTCAATAAATTAATAAGTGTGGAACAAAAATAAAATGATATCAAACCTTTAGAGAAGAGGACTCAAGAGAATTTGACATAAGCTCTAGAAGCTGTAGAACTATCCCCACTCGAGTAATAGTTATTAGTGTTGATCCACCAGCATCCGCAGATTCTTCAGCACATGAGCAAACAAAAGCTAGTTTCTCTAGCTCTTCTAAACTTTCTTCATTGTCTAGTAATGAAGCAGCCAAGCTCTCGTCATTTTCGTCACTGCTTGTTGATATATAATCACTATCCGTGGGTGATGCGGTTTGGAGGCATGAGAAACCAGAGTAAATCATCACATCCGCTCCTTTAAGACCATGGAAATCGAAACTTTTTGCATGATGTGAAACGAGGATGGAGTCTGACACATAACTTAGACTTCCATTAGGTCCGTTGATCAACCAATTGCAAGCTCCTATATCTAGACCTGAACTTAAGGCCTTAATGACCAATGTCCCATTATAACAAACTTCTTCTGAAAACTTTACAGCTTGAACCTTCTTCATGCAACTCTTTATGTCATCTAAACTGAAGAAACAAATGAATTAACGACGCAATCAATACTATATCAACTAGAACCAATAACAATTACCTGTACAGACGCATCCAACTGCCTAGATCATCACCATTAAAGACAACATTCTTAAGCACGGAAGGTACTTCTTCACCATCTAGATTCTTTGTCCAACAAGGAAAACTAGAGTCCTCAGGTCCATGTAAGCGTCTAAACTCCATGTGCATAGAGACAAGATCTTCCATCATGAGCTGACCAATCTTAGCTGTTGCTTCAGTCATATATATCTACATCTTAGAAGTAAAAACTTAAGACAAGACCCAAAGCAGAACAAGTTTATTCATGAAGACGTTTACCTTGGCACAGAATCTTGGGTTTTGAGTAAGGAATGGTAATCCAAGCAACCCCATAGGATTAGAGATCAAAACAATATCAATCAAAGAAACCTCCCATAAATGCAAAGTCTTCACAGTTTTATACCACGGCTCTACGCAAACCAAATCATCAAAACTCATCTGTCTCTCCATTTTTTGCTTCTTCTGAATTGGATTCTGAGCATCCTCTTCAGATGGATATGCACTAGCTTCAAACCCCACATCACATGGAACAGGAGAGAAGATTGTGATTGCCAAAAGGTCTAAAGGGCAGTCAATCAAAACCCTGAAACCACTTATGTTTAGCATGTGGCAAGGCGGGTAGTGAAAGCCATCTCCTTTGCTCAGGCAAGTCTACAAAAAAAACACAAAGCTTTCATATTTACCTAACAATTCAGATAAAAGGTATAGACTTTACATTAAGTTATACAATAAACAAGAGAAACTCACCAGTTCCATGGAGATAAAAACAACAGTAGAATCTGTCGAAAGCTTATAAAGTAACCACTTTTATACGAACTGTCTCCAGAGGAAACAGAGGAATATCAAAGACGTTCAAAGTCACAGCTTTTCTAGAGAGAGAGACTAACAGATGCGGCAGAGAGTGAGAAAGTTGCGGCGGTTAGTTAATGGAAGGCGGAGACGGAGTAGGAAGTGGTTTCGGTTTGGTTCGGTTTATATAAACTTAATTCGATTTAGATTCTCAGGTTTTGTGTTTTATTTAGAAAAGTGTGGTTCAGTTCGGTTTATATAAACTAAATTCTATTTTAGATTCTCTGCTTTGGTTCGATTTATTAATTGATTTGTTTTCGTAGTGATGGTGTTGTTTGCTGTTTAGCGATTTTATTTTGAATGGGTTCGGTTCGGTTTATATAAACTAAATTCGATTTAAATTCTCTGGTTTCATATTTTATTTAGAAACGTTCGGTTCAGTTTGATTTATATAAATTAAATTCGATTTTAGATTCTCTACTTCGGTTCGGTTTAGTTGATTTAATTTTGTAGTGACGGTGTTGTTTGCTGCTCTGCGATTTTATTTCAAATAGGTTCAGTTCGGTTTATATAAACTAAATTCGATTTAGATTCTCTAGTTTCGTGTTTTATTTAGAAACGTTCGGTTCAGTTTGGTTTCTATAAATTTAAATTCGATTTAGATTCTATGGTTCGGTTCTGGTTATGTAAACTAAATTCGATTTTGATTCTCTGGTTTCGTGTATAACTAAGAAAAGTTCGGTTCAGTTCGGTTTATATATACTTAAATTCGATTTAGCTTCTCTGGTTCGGTTTAGTTGATTTGATTTCGTTAGCGACGCTGTTGCTGATCAGCGATTTGATTTACTCCTCCGATGGATTCAGCTGGAGAGGTCGTCAACGATGGCAAAATCACTCTCGAGGGTTTCTCCGTAGCTGCTCGATCTTTCGCCGAGAAATGGAAAAGACTTAACCTTTCGTTCCCTCCCTGGTCATGGGTTCCTCTGAACAACCGAACTCTGCTTAAGGTCAACATCGATCAACACTATTGTCTCCATGTTCCAAAGATATCATTTTTTTTTTACATTAGATTCATTCGTCCTGTTGTGTTTATCAGAAGGAGGAAGGTTACTTATCGCTAGAGAAGATCATCATTCTTAGCTCACTTGATGTAAAGTCACAACCTTTAACCATGTTTTCATCTTCTTCCTTCTTTTATTGCTTCCGACCATTATCTATGTGTGTAGGAAAGTGTTGAGGAGGAGTCTTTAGATGTAAGAGCTGATTGGTCGGAGAAGGAAGAAGCAGTTGATCACACGGTCTTGGTACAAGACGTTGAAGATGAAGCGCATTACTATGATTACCATATCGTTTACAGTGCATCATACATGGTTCCTATGCTCTATTTTCGTGGATACTCTAGTGGTATGTGTCACACCATCTCCCCCTGCAAACATTTAGATTGCTCTTTTTGTTTGGTTGTAAGATAGTTATATCATATGTTTTGTCACTTTTATTAGATGGAAAGCCTCTTTCTTTGGAAGTGATCAAAAGAGATTTGCCGTCAAGCTCTGTTAGTCTTTTGTTGGAATCTAAGTGGACCTTTATAACACAGGAGGTATCCTCTCAAAACCAATACCACAATGTGTGAGTTTAATATATAGGTTTTTTGGTTGCTTGGCATTTAATCTCTATGCAACAATAAAATTGCAGGATCATCCGTATTTGAACAGGCCGTGGTTCAAGCTACATCCCTGTGGGACTGAGGAATGGATCAAACTGCTTTCCGAAAGCAGCAGCTTTACTGGCTGTCAGATGCCAGTTGAGTTGTATTTGATATCATGGTTCTCTGTTGTCGGGCAAGTGGTTGGTCTTAAAATCCCTCATGAGATGCTGATTTAGATATGGTCTGTAATTCAACTATAAGATGAGTCAATTGGCTCTAAACCCTCAAGAACTTTGAGGTTATTATGGTATACATTTGTGAATGATCTTTTCACATATGCTTGAATGAATACTCACTCAAAAACAAAAACAAAAACATGTACACTTGCATTACATGAATCCTTCTCTGTAGAAGCTTATGGAAGGTTGATTGTTTTAGGTGCTAGAGAAAATCAGTAGCCTAATATTTCTTCTAGTCTACCTAAACCTATTTTTAGAAAACTAGTAAATGTTAAATCAATAAATACAGAACTTAGAAGATGCGTCTACTGATTTTAAATATAAGACTCATTAGGTTTAGCTTTCAAGTTCAAATGACTGACGTTAATCATCAATTTTGTTTTCTTAATCTTTAGAGCATGGTGTTAATCGTGTAAATTTCTCATACTAAAATTTGATATGTGTAATTTTGTGTGTTTGTATTTATATAATAAATATTAGGTGTTTGGAAATAATCAATTATTAAAATAGTTAAGATGAATGAAATTTTTTTTTAAAAAATAACCAAGCGAAGACGGTTTAGTGGTTTTGAGAAAGTTTCGGTCCTAATACAGATACGGATTCGAATCCTGATAGTCATTGGGGGGTAAAATTTAAAATCTAGACTCCCCCAATATTTGGTGACCGAGGCGTACTCCAACCGATAACGTAAACTGATACGAACACTCGTCGCTAGTCTAGATCCACTTTAGTGGGTTCCAGAATACACTGAATTATTAAAAAATATATATATGTTGAAAATAAATTTAGTCTTATTTGTAATTCAATTTGAATAATATAGATAGATATGAAATATAAAACATAGTTTTATTGTTTATAGCTTCAAATCTTAAGTGGTACTTAATTTTTATGAAGATATACTATACAATATTTTTTTCTAAATTGAGCAAAACATTAAAATCATTCTTATCAAAGTTCAGTTAAATCAAGATAAATAATGGAAAACATTTGAACCAAAGAATAATAATTGAAAACATTTAAAACAATTTAAAACAAACAAACAAAAAAAAGTTAAAATTGTAAATTTTGTTCAACAACTTAATTTCAGTTGACTCCGCGTGGACAAAGAAACAAAACGCATGGTTTATAAAGAAAAAAAACAGTCTTTAAAAAAAGCTCTCTCTTTAAGACAATCAATCTCTCTTTCCAAAATAATCTTTCCGACCAAAAGCAAAAGCATCGACATAATTTATAAAGACTTCAATGGCAGAGTAAGCTTAACCCTCTCTCTCTCTCTCCGTACTCAAACTTCCTTTCTTTAACATTCTTCTTTCCCTCGAGCAGATCTGAGCCTAAAATCGAGTACACGACCAACGTCGAAACCGCCGTCACAATGACGTCACCGGCAGCTTCCTCCATCGCCACAACCAGCGTCCACGTAAGCGCCCTCGACGGCCTCGTCAACGTCAACTCTCTCTTCACCATCGCCGTCTTCGTAGGTCTCTCCATAGCCACTCCAGGACAGCACAGCCTCGAGCAGAGATCCAGCTGCGACGCGAGTGCTGACGTGGCGAAGAAGCTACTTGTCTTCGAGGTCGTCTCCTTCAGCTTCTTCCTCTTCTCATCTCTCGTAGCTCAGGGTCTCAAGCTTGCGTTGAACCTTCTAAATAGTAAAGATGTTGACGAGATTTTCAGGGCGCATATTAATATTAAGGTTTTGAGATGGGGGATGATGGCGTCTGCGGTTGGATCTGTGATGGGTTGTTTGTTTTTGATGTTGTCTATGGTTAATGTGATTCAGATCCGTTTAGGGTTGCTTTCTTGTGGTAGTGAATCTGCGGTTCAGGCGGTTGTAACGCTTGTGACGTTGGTTTCTTCTGCTCTTTTGGTTTATATTTCTACTGCGTTTTATGCTTTTTGGCATTGAATCTGGTTTGAACAGTTTCTTTATGTCTCTTTGTTTGTTTTGGAGAATGAAGTAAAGATGGAAAGATCAGGAGCACTTGATGTTAAGCTTTTTTTTTCCTAATTTTGGTTAATTATGATAATTACCTAGACGATAATACATCCAACAAGTCTGACAATTCTACGTGACTTATGAGGATTAACGACTAATTGCATCAAACTAAATTATCGTGTAAAATCTATTCTTAAAGTAGTTTTTGTGCCATGTTGAAGTTTCTCCATCTCTTTATTTTGTTAAATGAAGTCGGCAAGACCAAGAGAATTTGATTTTAAGCCTTTTTTCTAATTTTGACTTATGAGGATTAACGTATGACTATTATATGACTTATGAGATTAACGTCTGACTGCATCAAACCAGATTATCGTGTAATATTTATTTTTAAGGTATTTTTTGTACCATGTAAAAGACTTCTTGAGATTTTTTTCTCAAATATTCTATATAATTCGTTTTCTTTGGGATTCAAACCTCAGATTTTCTGATGTTAAGCATATTTATGACACAGACGAAGCCGTGTGTGCTGTTTTATTCAGCTGAGGTGTTTGGTGAAAATGTTGGACTCTATTTCTCTTACACTTTTGATAACATTGTTGATGTTAGTAGAGAGATGATTAGCATGTTCTTCCATCCCCTTTAAGACCATATCAAGCTGTTGTTGCAACGCATCAGAACGTTTTCTCTCTCGGCTCAGCTCTGTGCTAAGCTCCCTAATCTTTGCATCTTTCTCGTCCTGAAAAAAGTTTGTTTTGTACAATTATTCAATTCATAAGTTCAAAAGACCTAAAACAGAACAAGCTTTATGTGTATGGAACGTACCGATGTTTGAGAGATCTGTGAACTCCGGCGACTATTAATAGTAAGAGGAGACAAGGGAGGATGGTTATGTTCTTTCACAAACTTTGCAGCTTCTTCTGATTCAAACTCCATACCAATGAAAGGCTCCACCACTGAAGAAGCTTGGTCTGTAATTGTATTCTCTACTACATCTTCTCCACGTAAAAAGTTCCTATCTCAATTCAAGACAAATACAACATGGCATAAACTAGTACATAAGAACAGATACCCTAAAAAAAAAAAAAAAAAAGTACAGATACCCTATATATATGCATTTCTAAACCCTAATTACGTAGGAAGAGAGTAGAAACTTCATCAACTTTTAATCAAACTCTCAACTTCATATCCATACGAATCGAGCAGATAAAAGAAAAGCGAAGTTGAGAACAAACATGGATCGGACAAAAGGGAGCTAATCTTCATTAACACGTCTAGAAGTGTTTCAGGAGCCACAGAGCCCCAACGCCTTTCCTGAACTTTCTTCCTGATCCAACCCGAAAACCAATCTCTGTTTCCCATTTTCCATCACAAAAGTTCACCTTTCAACCTTACAATACCAAAGTTCTCACGTTGTCTGAGTATTTTCTAGCTCAATTTGGTGGGCTAACTCTGCCATTATCTCCACGTCTGCATTGTCTGCAATTCTTGCCATACTTAGCGTCCTATTCTCAGAGTAACTCATGATAGATTTTGTGTTCATAGAAGAAGGATTGATCCTCTGGTTGACAACATCAATGGACCTGTTTACAAAATGCTATCAGATTGTGGAATACAGACAGAGTCAACAAAGCATAGGAATTGAATCGTTACCAAAACAATCTTTGGCTTCAAAAGGGAAAGAAGTGTTGGGAGCTTCTGCAACCTGCAAAAGAACTTAATAGTATTGAGCAATGTTGACAAGCCAGTTACAGTTATACAGACAGGCAAGATCTTTACCTAATTCCAGAAAGAAATGAACATTGGAGAATATTCATAGAGATTGGTCTGAAGGGGAGAAGTCCTAAACCTGAATCTTCATATATTTCTCATTAGATTTTTAGACTAGAGATTCACATTGGATCATCTTATGGAGCTAAGGAAGAGAGAAAATAGATTTAAAAACCTCAAGAACAAGCAACGATTTTGGATCTCCACCGCCATCGCTGAATAAGTTGGATAGAAGGGCCAAGCCGCAAATTCCAGTGAAGAGCAAACAATTTGCATGGTTCGTGTCGTAATTGTGTTTTTATATTGAAAATATAGAAAATTAAATGTTATATTTATCTGTGTGTAAAAACTTAGAATGACAATTAAAATGAGACGGAAGTAGTATCTGTTTAACCATAAAAATGAAGAAGAGAGGTTTGGACCTCGGAATTAGGACCGCTCAAATAAATGAAATCAGGGCCCAGTAGTTTAGGCGGCCCATAAATATAATAAATTAGGGCGGAGTATTAAAGAGCGTATTAGCTGGAGGGGGGGGGAGACAAAGTGATTTTGGGCGAGAGAATGGGTGGACAGTGGAGAAAGAAGAAGCTGATGGTTGTTGGTAGTAAGTATCATGCGAGGAGACGTTCATATGGGCTCTGGGCGAAGAAGATAAAGTCTCTTCGTAAGTCTCTACGTAAGTCTAAGAAGGAGATTATCCGAAAGAGAGAAGATGCTCGTCATAAGGAGACGGCTGAGCTTTGGCGTAAAGTGTGGGAAACAGATGTAATTATTATTATTATTTCCTTTTTATTTATTACTTTTCAATTTGATTTTATTTGATTTTGATATGATGATATCCGTAGGGGTTCGATATGGGTGAACTGAGGGATCATCGTTATTGGGGAATGCATGCTTTCAAAGGAGGGGAAGATTGTCCCATTGAAGTGCAGCTTTATGCAAAGCTCGGGCTTCACCGGTACAATATGTTAGAGGTAAAAGTTTTTTTACCAAAAAAAAAAAAAAAAGCTTATTACATAAAAATAAAGTAAAGTTTCCTCTCTTACGGTGATGATGAGAAAAAATTGACACATGACATGCAAAATTATTTTTACACATAAAAATTAATGGTTAATATTAAGTAATGTTTACTTTATGTGAATGTATTTACAAAATATATATATATATATATATATATATATATATTTTAGAGGTCAAAGTCTCCTCTTCCATCTCATCTTATGTGCTTTTATTTTATTTTTTATCTCTTGTCTCATATACAGGGGACTAATCTGCAGCTTCACGAAATAGAGAAATACAATAGAGAGGGTAACTTCATGCCTGCCCGTTATTATATAACTTCGCTTGCAGAGGATCCAGCTACACAGTCCCTTGTTACTTTCCAGACTGAGCTTTACGAAAGAAGCTGCAACACTCTGAAGCACACTTGCGTTATCGCCAGACTTAAAGGTAGGTGAAAATCGTTTATAAGTAACAAACAGTTTGTTTGTAATCTACTTTATTAATTGTTTTGTATTTATCTCTATTCTCTAGGGACTAAGTCTACGGAAAATGTGGATCATTTCCACGATGATAGGGACTTGCCTGAGTGGCCTTCATTTGATGATGATAAATGTAGTCGATTTTTATATGAGGTAAGTAATTACAGAGAGAATTCATGGTTAAGGTAGTAAGACGATGATGCTTTCATTTCATTGACTCACGTCTTGTTATTGCTTCCGCAGGTTCTGGAATCTGAGTGGGAAGAAAACGACTGGATTGGTCTATACTTGGAAGTTGCAGTCGTTGCCACGGATAGGCATAATGACAATGTTGGTTTTCTTGTTTTTTGAGTCATATAAAGTGTGTTTTATTTCTTGTTTTGGGTATGTATATATATATATATATATATAAATCTGTTTCGGTTGTTGCAGCCCAACCTGTCCGGTTTGAAGATTTTGAACGTGGTGGTAGAAACTGAAGAAAATCTGCCCAAAGAGACTCTACTCAAGTGTTTTAGAAGTGTCGTAGTCTACATAATTTATGATGAGGACGTGGGAGGTGATAATGGGGTATGCAAACGCAGAGCCATCGTTAGAAGAACTGTGGATTTCATATCTAAATGCTTTTGTCTCGTTGGCTACACTCTACCGTTTCCCTAAGAAAAAAGCTTTTAATACTAATAACACTCTTAACTTAGCAAGGAGTTTACACCATATGCTATTTGTTATGTGTTTTTTGTATAAGGGCAATATCGGTTCAGTAGTTTCATTTATGCATTTTGGTTTATCTAGTTGGTTTAGTACAAACACTTATATGTAAGGGTTTTTACCCATTTGGGGATTAATAAATCAAATAATAACCTAATCCCTATGTGCTAAGTTCCCTAATCTTTGTATCTTTCTCGTCCTGAAAAGTTTGATTACACTCAATACCATATAAAGACTTTGCAGCTTCTTCTGATTCAAACTCCATACCAATGAAAGGCTCCACCACTGAAGAAGCTTCTTCTGTGATTGTATTCTCTACTACATCTTCTCCACGTAAAAGTTTCTCTTCCACTGCCACATAACAGAAGAACAATCTCAATTCAAGACAAATACAACATGGCTTAAACTAGTACTTAAGAAGAGAAACACTAAACCTATGTATTTCTAAACCCTAATTAAGTAGGAAATGAATAGCAGTTTCATCTAACTTTTAATCAAACTCTCAACTTCACACTAGAATGAGTTCATATCCATACGAATCGAGCAGATTAATCCATAAAAGAAAAGCGAAATTGAGAAGAAACATAGACACAAGGAAAACTAAAACCCTCAGATCATCGAAACATAGGATTCAGTTGAAGAACTTACTTGGATGGAAAAATAGGAAGCTTCAGACAGGGGGGGACTTGGACAGAGGAAGTGCTGATCTATGAAACTGAAGTTAGTTTAGTGAGTGGGAAAGAAAGGGAAGTGTTGAGGAAGAAGACGACAATAGAACACAAAATCGGAAGATCTCTCTCTGTTTCTTTGTACGGTTGATGATGACTTGACTTACTGGTTTTTGGGTTGAGCACGTGAACTTCATCCGTTGGCTTACGACAGGTGAGAAACGGCACGTAGTTTATATGTGATTTTTGTTTGTTTGACTTCAGATTACAAGTAGTTTGTAGCTTCTTTCTCTTTTGTTTCTCAGCTTTTCTATTTTCCAGATTACAAGTTGATAACATCATGTAAGTATGCATGGCATGATCTTATCATGCGTAAAAGTAGTAGTTAGTTAGTGACGTGCATCCCAATTCACAACCATATATTACAAAATAATGAAAGAATCAAAAACAAAATAGCGGATTTGTAAGATCCGTGGAGTTACATGGTTTTATATGTTTGTTTCAAAATCCCACAAAGAAAAATTCATCAACAATATTTGTGGGAAAGCATTCAAACACAAAGCTTGGTGAGCTTTTTATCTTACAAATCCATTTTGTTAATTCTCTTTCGAGGTTTTGCCCTAATCATTCCGAGGCAAAAAAAAAACAATGATGGTGATCTCAAACCCTAACCCAAAAATAGGTTTTTGTTTGTCTGTTTTACAAGCTTGATTCTAAGGCAGCAAATCCACCACCTTTCATCATTTGCTTAAACTCCTTAAAATTCACCATCCCATCTCCATCAACATCCACTTTGCTTATCATCCTCTTACAATCCTCTAGTGTTCTTCCTTGCTTGAGCCCCAAGGAAGATAACACAGATCTCAACTCTTCCACCGTGATGAACCCGTCACGGTTCTGATCAAACACGTTGAAAGCCTCTCTGATGTCTTCCTCCTCGTCTCTATCCTCCATGATCGACTGGTACAACCCTCCAAACTCTTCGATGTCCACGTACCCGTCACCGTTGAGATCAATCTTCTCGATCATCTGCACCAAGTCTTTATCGGGAATGTAGATTCCAAGATTCTCTAACGAATCATTCAGCTCTTGCTTTGTGATTTTGCCGTCACCGTTCCTATCGAACATTTGGAATATCCGGGAAAGCTCTGCTTGATCCATCTCTTATTTGGGGTTTTATTAGCTAGTAAGCTTTGAAAAGAGGATGAATGAGAAAAAAAAAAGTTTGAAGATGAGTTTTATAGAGAAGAGATTAGGGCCAGAGAAGGGAAGAAGGACTAGTTCATAAAGGAGTGGTTGCCATTTTAGAAAATTTCATTACAACGTGATCTGCACCAGTTTTCTGTTGAACTGGTCTTAAAATAGGTTCTTTTGTCTTTCAAAGAGACACAGAGACTAAAGTCTATCAATAGATACACACGGAATGTACACTGTCTTATAGTATCATCATCATGAACTTTCATATAGTTTTCCGTTTAGGATAGTTATTTCAGGTTATATACATTTCTTTCGAAGCTCACAGTTTTTGTGTACAAATAATTTCATTCCAATGCTTATTTACCAATATCATGAAAATGTTTTTCCCATCTTTTTAAGCTTTATATTATCTTGTCTAAGATGTGATTTATTATTCTATATATTTTTCTTGTCGAATTGATACACCACGCTGTTTCAAGAGACAACTTAAACAATAAATAACTGGGTTTTAAAATAGTTCGGTCTTTATCACTTTTAATAGTTAGTTAATTACTGAAAACCGTCGTTGTCAAAGTAAAGGTTTATATCATGCTGTATCATCATGTATGTGACTTCAAAAATTGTATATACTGTATTCACTTCTAATAGTTCATTTCTTTTATAAGTTTCGACGTATTTGATTGGCTCACACAAAAAATTGGTTTCACCACAAATTGAAAACTTACTAAAAAATTTTGGTTTAGAGTCTTTAGACGATTTAAAATTTGTAGGATTTTAACTTGGCTTGATTCCAATGCGGCCCACAGTTACTATTCGACACAAAGAGCAAGCTTAAAGGAGACTTGATTAGAGATACAATATACCTCTGAAAATGAATCTATTGATCATACCAAACATAAGCTGATCTTGTGAAGTCAAAACTTTTAGCCTAAAAATAAATTTGAAAATTAAACTAAAACAGAGTTTGCAAGGCTCGAAACAAATCTACCAAACCATCAATATAAAGATATTCATTCTACCTTCTTCCTTTCGTAAAAGCATATTCTACAATTCTCAAGCTCTGAGTCACATAATGTTTTATCTTAGCAACAAGAAAGAAAGACGCAGAACTAGTTTATGAGACTGATATGCCTCAAACTCCACTACTTATACCTAAAAACTCCACTTAGAGGATGGCCTTTTAACCCTAAAAGCATACTGTGAAAGTGAGAAATTTGATTATATAGTCTGTAAAGAGAATCTCCTTACTGTTCTGACGAGGCACATCATTCCACATGATCTCTTCACTTAATCTTTATGCTAACTATGCCTAAATTACGCTAATTATGCGCAAATTACTTGGCAAACATAGCCTAAGCGACTACCAAAACATATAACAGCATGTAACCACAGTTAGAAACAATGAGTTCAGTAATCTCATGAATCCTGAACTTTCCAAATTGCTTTTACCAACCTTTAGATAAAACACCATAATCTCTAACCCCTTAGAGAAAGAAACCATATAAAGGAAGAAGCATCAAGAAAGAAAGCAACATTCAATTCAAAAGCAACCCCATACTTGAAGCAGTGAATAGTTTCAAACAACCAAATTCTTTACCACATTGTAAAAGGTAGAGATTACAGATATTCAATATCATAATCCTCTGCAAAGTACTTAAAATATCCACAGCCAATTTATTCCAAAAACACAAAAACAACAATAGAGAAGACTCATATACCTAGACCTTTCTCTATGCTCTCTTCATGCCTAAACTACTTGGCAAACTGAGCCTAAGAAGACCACCAAAACCATAACAGCATGTAGCCACAGTACCATACAAAGCTGCCATTAAGCTTCATTAACCTCCTGAACTTTTTCAAAATGCTTTTACCATTAGATATAAAACCATAATCTCTAACCTCTCCAACTTTAACTAAATGCAATACCCCCTGACTGTGTGTGAGACAGAGAGACACAACCATCTTCTAATGGAAGAAGAATCAACAAAAAAAGCAGCATTCAATTCAAAAGCAACCCATACTTAAAGCAGGGAATAGTTTACCACATTGTAAAAGGGAGAGATTACAGATATTCAATATCTTAAAAATATCCAAAGCCAATTTATTCCCAAAAACACACAAAAAACAACAATAAAGAAGACTCATAAACCTCTCTCCCTTAGGGAATATCCCAAGGCTTAGCTTCGGGGACAGCAACAACCATACCTTGAAGCTCCTGAGTCAACACAACCTGACACCCAAGCCGCGAATGCTTATTCAACACGCGCGACCTCGAGTTACGCTTCAGCACGTACTCCTCATCGTACGTCCTCGCCGGGAGCTTCTCCAGCCACTCCTCCGCGATCTGAACCTCGCACTCCGCCGAGCAAGCGTCGATATCCTCCAATCGGTGCGATAACGGATCGATCAACCCCGTGTGCGTGAGCGCGCGGAGGAGAGTCTGTCCCGAGAGGCCGATGATTTCCTTCTTGTCCCCGTCGGCGTCGATCGCGGAGAGCTTGACGATTCGATCGGAGACTTTTTTGGATCCGGATGAGGAGGAGGGGGATGAGGTGGAGGTGCGGATGGTTAGGGATCTGGTGAAGGGAGAGAGGCGGTGGAGTTTTGAGGAGAGTTTCAGGAGATTCGTCGCCATCTTCTTCGTTCCTCTCGATCTGTGGTTGTTGCGGAGCGTTTTTTTGTGTGTGTTGTGTGTGGTAAATGGAGTATCTGTGAGGGTGAGAAACGCTGGTTTGAGATGGGCCTTTTCATAAAAGCCCATTTATATTTAGAGGCCCATTATAATGAGGAAAATTAGCACTTGATTTGAAAAACCGGTTCAATTTTGCTCGGTTTGAAATTACTTGTACAATATAATCTCTTCAAATTAATACTCTATAAATTAATATATACTAAAATTCTCTATAAAATAATAAAATTTTACAGTCCCAAATTTAAATTTTTGGTTCAATTAATATATCGATAAATTAATAATTTTTATAAATTAATAAAAAAATTATATTATTGGTGTAGCACCAACATTATTATTTTATAGAGATTTCATTATATTTTACAGTGTTCTAAAATCGACACAGGGAACGTTTAGACGTTAGAGTCTTTAGACACTTTTATTTTCACAATCTTTAGTTTAAACTTTCAAAATTAAATTTAGATATCCGTTTAATCTAATAAACCTCTACAAATAAATAATTATCATTTCGTAGTTTGTAATAACATAGTTATTCAGCGTTAAAAAAAAGAATAGTTACCATCAACTGATATTTTGAGCATTGATATTTTGGATGTTTATTTAAAGTATAGAATCTCTAGTTTAGATGGCTAAGTAGAGTGTGGATTATAATAGATTTTCTTCTATAGTAACATTTAGAAGTAAATATTTTTTTTGGCAACATTTAGAAGTAAATATTTAGGTTGGTTAGATATACTCAAGTTGGCTTCTTTGCTTAAAATAATATTTCTTTCACTCTTTGGTTGAGATAACTTTCATTCATGAATAGTGTCTCTGATGATCTAAGAGGACTGTATTTCTTTTTCTGGGCAACTATATTAAAAGTGTAAAAACAGGCATAACGAGAAAGCTAAAGTAAAATACTCTCTTTAATAAATAGTGTATCTCATCGAACGCTCGTGATATAATCTTCAGACAATTTTACAAAAGATCATTCAGTATATTTGCTTACCATAAAGTGGTTACATAAAAGCATGACATTGTCGCATGTGTTAACGAATGCTTTTAAGAAGACACAACTAGACCTAAATTTACTGTAGTAAATTTTTCAACATTCGGACAGCCGCATCTCTCTAAACCCATGCCTCTTTTGTTCCCATGTGATAAGGTCCACCTACTTTCCCCCGATGACGCGTTAAGACGAAACTACCCCACATTTAACTATAAATAACCAACGTGTCTCTCATTCATTGGTTGACTTATCACTGCTCTGAGAAACAGAGGATCATTCCCTCCATCAATAATTAGACAAATAACTTGATCCACTCTGTTTCAAGCTGTCACCAAAATGTCTTCTTCTTCTTCTGTTTCTCCTTCCTCTGCTTAAACCCCCATTAATTTAATCCTCTCTCTCTCTCTGAATAACGAACAAACAGATCAGAGAGAAAAAAAAACGAGTGGTCCAAAAAAAATATGATTCGTATTCTCCAAATCTCTCTCCTCTGTTTCTTCCTCGCCGCCGGGATCTCGATCTCCATCTCCGAGAACGAGTCTATATACGAGATCCTCCTGGAAAACAAGTTACCGTCGGGGATATTCCCTAAAGGCGTGACGGAATTCAACTTCGACGGCGAAACGGGCAAGTTCTCTGTTTACTTGAATCAGTCTTGCGATGCTAAGTACGAGACAGAGCTTCGTTACGACACGAATATCACCGGGAAGATAAGTTCTGCTCAAATCAGTGATTTGTCGGGAATATCGGCTCAAGAGCTGTTTCTTTGGTTTCCTGTTAAAGGAATCAGAGTCGATGTGCCGAGCTCGGGGCTTATATACTTCGATGTTGGTGTTGTTCAGAAGCAGTACTCATTGTCTGTGTTTGAAACGCCGAGAGATTGCGTTGCGGTTCGTGGCGAAAATGAGGTATGGCTTCAATGTTTTGTGAGATGAATGAATCAATGTTCAAGAAATCGCTAGGTGTTAGTTAGGTATAAAGACTATTGTTTAAGCAGATGTCTAGACCGATTTTTTTAACGTCTAAACCAATAATTAAAAAAATCGGTTTATAAAAATCATTTTTGTTCATATCCGATTTGCCGGCGGTTAATGTGTGTGGATTGATGAGATTTCATTGAATGTAAACGAACTAATGTGTTTAACTATAATGACTATATGCAGGTTGAATCTTCTGTGTTGTCATTGCATCAAGTAGATCAAACTCATGGGAGAAATGTTATTTAGCCTGGAGAGTTTTTTTTTTAAAGAAAATGTTGTTATACTATACCACCACAAAGATAGACAGATGTTCTCATCAAATTCTTGGAGATACTTGTGTACTGTTCTTTTTTTTTTTGGTCTCAAATCTTAAAGCATGATTCAAATTCAAAAATGCTTTAACTCTTTTCCCTCCTCATTCCAGTTTTGTTTTCTGTATTTGCATTCTTATATTCCTGAGAGGAAGTTAGATGGGAGAGAAACAAGATCTGGGGTTTGTTTGGAAAAGATGTTGAAGGAATGGTCCATATTTGGTTCAAGTCATTGATGATTTACATTTGATGTGAGGTGATGAAATGTTGTAGTATTATTTTTGGTGTCTATTGTTTAAAGAGATATTATCCTATATATAGCCAAATAAGTGTCATGGAACAATCATTTCACCTTCACATAATATCTGGCTGCTTTATTTTTAGTAAAATGATCCCTAGAGACTAGAATTCTTACAATCCAATCAGTTGTGACATAATAAAAGACTGTCTTTCTAATACCCTGAACTTCACCAAGCTGAAGTCAAGTCTGTCTCCAGCTTGGCTTCGGAAGTCACTGTCTGAATTTACTAGGCGTGTCAATGAAACAGTAACGCAAACTTAGTCCAGTTATGAGAGATTTTGTCATTTATCACTTGTCTCAACCACCTTCTTAACTAGTTTTCTGAGGACGTATGTTATTAAGAGGGACTATTAGTTTAATGTGGTGATCAGTTTACACTAAGATGTTTAGGTTTTATTGTTTGTCTTCTCGTCAAAGTGATAACAAGACCACTTAAAAACACTCAATATATAGTAAAAAACAGAGTCAGACAGCTGAGGTTGCCACAAGGTCATCAACACCTGGATGGTGAGATGTTTAGTTTAATCTGATGATTAAGACCCATGACTTGGATGAACATATAAACGAGACTAGAGTATATAGTAATATATTTCATGGTAGAGTAATGATGTATATTGATTATGATCCAGATAGTTTAACCTTTTTTTTTAAGTCAAACTATTTGAATAGAAAATGTGACCCTACAAATATTAAGCATATGTTAAGTGATCCATCTAATCAAAACTTATGAAATCATTCTCGTTGCTCTCCTAATAATCGTATTTATTATATCAATGAGATGAATGTAATGAAAATAATCTCAGGTTCTTACAAAGATATTACTTTTAACAGTTTTGATCTAGTCAGGTCTGGTCAATGTGGGGCCCCCATGTGGTTGTACATTTTGTCGGCTTTGGTTCAACTTGTACCGTGTAGGCTAGGCTCATCCATTATACTTCAGCATCTCTCGATCAACTCTCTATAGTCTTAACGTCAACAATCATGCCTTATATGGTCGTTAGAACATAAAAGATATCCACATTTAACGAACTTGCATTGATAAAAAGTAAAACCCACGTGCTCTTATTCATTGGTTGCTCTACTGAAAAAGCAATAACTGTATTGAAAGTGTGAGCCAACAAACGATAAACCTCAAGTTTCATGATCTATCTAATCTAACTCCATTAGTTTACTCATGCCATCAGTCTCCTTAAGCTAACATACTATTATATATTTATATGTGCAACTTATATATGAGCCTCACCTTTTCAAACATTTTTTTTTCAAAACTAGAAAGAAGTTAATAAAATGAAAAAATCACACGTTCTTACAGTGATATTGATTATGGTTTTGGTCGAGTCAGGCCTGGTCGAAGAGGCTATGGCACACCCATGTGGTCGAACATTTTTGTCGGCTTTGATTCAACTCGTGCCGTGTAGACCATCAGTGGCGCCGTTTAGCACATTATCGCCGAACGGGCTATGTTGCGCTGCTATCAAGAGGCTTGGTCAACCTTGTCTATGTGCTCTTTCCAAGGGACCACCTATCTCTGGCGTTGACCGCACTCTCTCTCTCCAGTTACCTGGAAAATGTTCTGCCAATTTTCCTCCGTGTAACTAATTTTCTACCCTTTATTATCAAAGTTTTGTAATGCGTTTACTTGAAAATCACGATTTGCTTCGGTTTTAAATAGAGTTAAGTAACTTTTCAGACATATATCACGCTTGCATGTGTAGAAGTAGAAGTCGCATGTTTGCAACTAAAAAGTTAGTGTAAGACTGAAAAAAGACAATGATTGTCTGCAAATAAATATTTTGCTTTCATAAGCTTCCATACTTTTGTAAAAGAAAAACCCTAGCATGAAATAAAAACATTATTATAACTTCTCATATTTATATGATAAATTCACATATTTGGCAAACAAAAAAAACTTAATTATAAAGACAAATATTTAGATTTAAACAAAAGGTGGGGTAAAAGAGAAAACAAGAAAAATATTACAGTTTTACAGTTAGAATTTGGTATGACATATGATCAGCATAGTGGAAACAACTGAGGACGCAAAATCGGCAAAGACCAAAGATAAGCATCTAAGAACTTAACACTTCCACCATTTGAGATCATTCCCAAAATGATATTTCTCATCATTTTCATCGGCTTTCCGATGTTGATCCTCCATCTCTGCACCACCATCCGCGGTTGTCCCACCAAGAACCCTCGTCGCCGGTTTCCTAACCGCACGACGGTCATTTTTCCTTTCCTCCGTTGCTGTGGCCACCAAAGCCTAGACGGGAGACTTGAAGTGGCATGGACTGCGTTTCTTCTTACCATATTTGCTTCCTTTTTCTTTGGCTTTGTGATCCTGTTTAGTATTCAGCTCTTGGGTTTGTGAATATGCAAGTTCTTGAACGTGGATTTATAAATAGGAGAAGTGAGTGAGTGATGATTGATGATGTGTAAAGATTGGAATCAAAAGAGATTTTAATCATTGAAAGAGGCAATGATTATGTGCATCATTAAGGCCTATGTGTGAGTAGGACAGAGGTTAACCTTTTGGAAAATATTCTATATCCATCTCAAAGGGAATATTAAACACAAGTTTAAGATAGATCTAACTCAATGTGACTAAGAAAAGGCTTAATAATAGAGGATACATTTGAGTTTCAGAGATGAAAAATAACATTTCTTACTACTATTGAACCGCCCTATGTCACACATATTCAATATAGTATTGCATTAGACTTTGTAGTTTCATAGTTGGTATATCTTCTTGAACGTTAACGCCTTAGCGATTCCTTACACAAGATTAAGCTGGGACCTAAATATTGGCATTTTGTTCGATCATTGGGCACTCTATGAGAAGCCTATACTATATGTAGGTTGATTAGTGTATGCAAGAGGGTAGTAATTAAATATATATTGCTTTCGTCTGCGAATTTTAGACCTCAAGTCTACGTTTAGTTGGAGAGAATACTATTTTTATCTAAAAAGGGTTCAGTATCTAATAATGTGTGCTTTATTCGGCCTTAGGTTGTGTAGCCTCATGGTAATTATCATTGCAATTTACATGTGACCCGTCCCCATTCCATAATACTCTATATATTTTGTCTTTCAACTGCTTACTGACAAGATTGTACCTAATTACAATCGAAACTATTTGTTTTTGGTCAATATATACGTAAGCATACAATTTTTTGTAAACTAAAAAAAGAAATAAAAAACCATCGTACGCTAACATTTGCCAGAACAAAATTTCTTTTTTTTCTTTCAATTATTGTAAATCATAATAATATTAATTTCGGTATTAAGCGGCGGATTAAACTGAAAAAAGAATATGATTACTGTAAATCATAAATATTTTGAGGCCCAAATGGCCTAATAGGTGAACCGTATATTTATGTACCTCATATTTAGCTGCGGATTACATCTATTGGCCCATTTGAGTCTTATAATTTTTGTTTGCATCATATATAAAATTAAAGTTTAAAATTTTCTCACGCAGTTCCCGCGAATCTAAACTACCTTGAAGAAGACCAAACCCGTGTCTTCTCCTTCTCTCTGTCTCTCCGCAAGAGAAAATCAAGCAATCCTTTTCCCTCTCCCAACAATCTAAGCTTCCTCTAATCTCTCTTAGCTTCAAGTAATCATGTTTATATATATAATCTCTTCTTCGCTTTTGATCTCTCCACATTCAAATCTCCCCTCCTCCTTCTTCTTCCTCTTATTTCTTCCGATTTAACGGAATTTATAAACTACCTAAAATGGAACCTCACGGAAAAGCCCACCAGAAAGAGCATCACGAAGATGCTGTCTCTCCGGATCCAGTTCCCTTGTCAAAGTATTCGAACAGAGTCGAGTTAAAGACTCTCCTCGAACGAATCGACGGCGGCGCAGGATTAGCCGGGAAAAGGGTAGTCATCGGTGGTTGGGTGAAGTCTTCTAGAGCTGTAAAGAAAGACTCTTTACCGGCGGCAGTTTTCGTCCCGCCGCCGTCGAGCGGCGGGAGTCAAGCTTCTCCGACGCCGAGCGTCAGCTGCACGGAGATAATCAACTCGAAGATGAATATTTTCAGAAAGCTTTTCGATGTCTTGAGCGGCGGTGGAAAGACTTACCCTATCTTTGATAAACATGATCTCCCCTGTCAGAAGGCCACGTCATCACCTGAATATATTATACACTTTCAGATTAGTGATGGCTCCTCTGTCTCCACTCTCCAGGTAATTGAAACCGACCCTGAGATTTTAAGGGTTTTAAACTATTTATGAAAATATTTGAATTAAATATATGTTTTTTATAAATTTGTTAATCATTTTTAAAACTAATTTATTATAACATTACAAATATGAGAAATATTACATGCATGATTCGACAATTTACAATACTATTTATCTGAATCGTTCTATAAGATCCTTTCTCGACGAGTAGGCTATGGTGTTTCCACAAATTTGAGAGTCTGATAACTTGTTTTGAGATATTTGTTTATATAATTTTTTTTAAAATTTTTGAGGCTTAAGACGAATGTTTAGTTTGGCTCAGGACCAACCGGTTCTAATTGAAGTTGTTAAAGGTTTTGCACAGAAGTGTTCGATGAAATGCCAATAAGAGCTAATTTTCTTTTTTTCTTTCTTTCTCAGGTTATTGTTGATTCTGTGTTGTCGAGTGTTCCAGCAACTCAGCTTATGTCTCTAGGGACATGTATTGTAGCAGAAGGTGTGTTGAGACAACCATTGTCTGCTTCTGCAAAGCACGTTATCGAGCTTGAGGCAGAGAAGCTTCTTCATGTAGGAACAGTGGATCCAGAAAACTATCCACTCTCCAAGAAACAGCTTCCTCTTCATATGCTTAGAGACTTCTCTCATTTCAGACCTCGCACAACCACGGTAAAACCTATATTTCAAGATATATTATATAGTGAAATCTTTCAGACAGGTATAAGATTATACTCTGTTGTTGGTGAAGGTTGGGTCGGTGACTCGAATCCACAGTGCATTAACCTTAGCTAGCCACACGTTCCTTCAGCAAAATGGGTTTCAGTATGTTCAAGTACCTGTTATCACAACTACTGGAGTTGGCGAGATGTTTAGTGTCACTACTCTTTTAGTTGAAACTGATGATAAAGACGAGAAGAAGCATGTCAATGAAAAAGTTGATTCAGTTAAGGCTGCGGTAAAGGAGAAGACTAGGCTAATTGATCATCTTAAAAGATCTGACAGCAACAGAGAAGCTGTAGTTGCTGCGGAACACGACTTGAAGAAAACGAATGATCTTGCATCTCAGCTTGAGATGAAACAAAAACCAAAGGCAGAAGGAGCAACTCATATAAAACCTGACAAAGATTTCTTTGGTTGTGACACTTATCTGACTGTTTCTGGGAGGTTTCATCTTGAGAGCTATGCTTCTGCACTTGGAAAAGTCTATACCTTTGGACCAAGATTCGTAGCTGATAAAATCGATAGTACAAGGCATTTGGCTGAGATGTGGAATGTGGAGACTGAGATAGCTTTCTCTGAATTAGATGTAAGTTAACATTCATTTTGGTAAATGCTACTCAATGATGGTAACTTGTTTCTTTTGGATGTTACAGGATGCTATGGATTGTGCTGATGAGTTCTTCAAGTTCCTCTGCAAGTATCTTCTTGAAAATCGTCATGAAGACATGAAATTCATATCTAAACGTGTAGACAAGACCATCACCACACGTCTTGAAGCAACAGCTTCAAATTCTATTTTGAGATTCTCATATACTGAAGCTATTAGCCTTCTGCAAAAGGTAAGGAACTTTCAAATCCCATATAGTTCACTGTGTTTGTGTTGGTATATCATAATGATCTCGTTCAATAGGCAACCACTAGAACATTTGAAACCAAGCCTGAGTGGGGCGTTGCTTTAACAGAAGAGCATCTCAGGTATATTCTTTTGCTTATGAGGATTCCTGTTAAGTCTTTGTATCAAGTTCAGCTTCTGAAATTTTGGTTTACCTTCTAATGTTGCAGTTACCTAACTGATGAGATCTACAAGGGTTGTGTAATTATACATAGTTACCCAAAAGAGGTTAAACCGTTTTACACACGGTTGAATGAAGACAAGAAGACTGTAGCAGCATTTGATCTGGTGGTACCAAAGGTAAGAAGACAAACAAACCAAACTCTGATTGCTAAAACTAGGAAACTCAAAGTTGCAGAATGTTACAGAACTCTTTAAATTTTTTTTTTGCAGGTTGGTGTTGTGATCACAGGGAGCCAAAACGAAGAACGGTTTGAGATTTTGGATGCGAGGATCAGTGAATATGGATTGAAAACAAAGGAGAAGTACGAGTGGTACTTAGATTTAAGGAGGCATGGGACAGTGAAGCATCCAGGAATAAGCCTAAGGATGGAGCATATGCTTCTGTTTGCGACAGGACTTCCTGATATCAAAGACGCAGTTCCTTTCCCTAGAAGTTATGGCAAAGCAAACAACTAAAGCATCCTCAAGGGTTTATGTACAAACTCAGTTACACCGTTATGTAATCTATCATTTATGTAACCCGTTATGTAATCTATGTAACCGTACTTGGTGAACACACACAAAGAGTTGTACCCAAAATGTTTATAATGATTATGAAAGTATAATTTGAAAGAAAGTATTGTCAAGGTTATCTTACGCATTGGTTCTGTCAAGGATTAGAGAAAATGGCCTCACTGAATCAAATAAAATGGTGAAATCATGAATTTAATATCCAGCTCTAGTGGAACTATATGTACATATATTAAATATATATTGATAACAGAGTCAATGGTTCCTTCAGTACAATCAGGGCTTTCGTAAAGCAGAACCTGCACCCATTACAACTGCTAAGACAAGACCAAGACCTGCTCCAAGTGAAGCACCCACAGCTGCTGCTGACATCGACGATGACTTGCCCTGTGAACCATCTACGGCACGACTTCTAGCTAGTTCCACCAACAGTCTTTCTCTAGCAAGTTCCTGAAAGTTATATACACATTGAATCGACTTGAGCATTATTACATTAACATCAACAAGCTTACTTTCAATATATGGTTAAACCAAAATCAACGTCCCCCAAACTTAATTGTATCTTGGTTTCAAAGGTTAGCACTGCATTAGTAGGAAAGGTTGGAGAGTGAAGATACCTGAAAGCAAGCTTCTTCTTGAGTTTGAAGGACACGGTGAACAATCTGGCAAAGGGAATTCACACCATCCACTGGAAAAACAGTGTCTTTTCTCTGAAAAGGCTTTTTGACAAGATCGAGTGGAGCGAATATCAGTTTCTGAGCGCCTAATGATCCTTCATTACCAGCATTCACAGCTGCCCACGGCAATGAGGAGCTCCCAGAGCCAGAAATAACATAAGGGATAGAGTTCACAACCCCGGTTGAGTTTGGTGACGCTTGATATGCCTGGAGAACAGCTTCTATCATGGACTTCTGCTGATGAGCACTGACTGAGAACTTGTTTGTAATGGCTAGGACCCAAGGGATGCCGAGGGACTTCACTTCGTCTAAGAGAAGAGCAAGTGCTGGCTGTTGCTGTTGTGTTGTTGCGTTCTGGTAACGTGGTACTCTGTGAGATAGATTGTGCACAAGAATAATTAAATCTATTTTTTTGCTTAGGTTACGAACTCCTTTCCATAGTTCTTCTCTAAAGCGAGAAGCCTCTAGCTGCAGCTCCTGCAGATTCACACCAACTGTGTCGGAGTAGCAAACACCACCAACAATACAGTCTTGAACATCGGATTGTATCTGCAAATTCTCCACATGAGTCATCGAACTCAGCATGGTTTGGCCTAGTATTGCCCGGAACAGAGAGGTTTTACCAGCACCCTGTGCAGACAAAAATATCTGGATTAGGACACAAAAATATATGAGAAATTGACATGTTATTCAAATGAAAGAGTACCTCAAGCCCGAGTAACCGCACTCTCCGTGTTCTGACCTCAACCTCCTTAGCAACAGTAGCGAAATCACTAGTACAGAATATATACAAGTCCTCCAAACCTTCAGGACGAACAAACTTGTCCTCTTCAAAAAAGCTGATTCCTTCCTTCACTAAACCGGTGTTTGAATCAACAGGCGAGAACATAGGAACTATAGGATCTTCAACAATCTGATTGCTTGGAGGTCGTTTCAGAGGAGCTCCAATGGTCACCCTTATTTTCTGTAGTTCAGTCTGTTCTACATTGTCTGAAGAATAGGCGGGTGTTGGAGGGAAGGATTCCACAGAAGTTGAACACCTAGAGAAAGTTAATTACTGATATTCAATAACTGTAACACATAAACTTGTCACTAAATAGAGGAGGAGACAAGAAGTGATAACAGATTATACCAGTTGCCATTCACTTGTGCATGAACAAAAGAACACAAATACAGCCCATATCCAGTGATATCAACTTTTAGAGGTTCTGCATTCTTATCACCAGGAACGCCATTCCAGCCAAGAGGAGCGAGAGCAGTAGCGGCTTTAATGACCGGAGATTCAACGATATGCCCAATTTCTACACTACCACCAACAGCGAGTCCAAGCCACTGTTGTAAATGTGGAAACTGTTTCTGTTGATCCACTCCGAAGAATCCATCTATATCCATGCAGAGGTCATGTATTCTACAGCAAGGAAAAAAAGCATGTCAGTGGAAAAGTATACCAAGGCTAAGACACTAGCCTATGTATGAATCAAGGAGTAACCGGCTTAGGGTAAGAAGAACTATCACCTCTGGAAGCGAGACCTATAGGATTTCATAGAATGTGACTGAAGACGTTCTCTCAGTTCGGTAATCACAGATCTGACCTGAAAATATCTTTGCCAGAAAAATGCAACCAAATAAGAGAACCTCAAGGTCATCAACCACAAACTAAATGTGAAAATAAGCGTGCTAATGACTTCGCGAAGTAACCACCTAAAGTTAGTAAGATCTCCAAAAATCAGACCTACTTGGTTCTAGTAATGCCTTAATTGTTTGGATACGTTCACAAGTTGAGATTAATAAACACTTGCTAGCATATTTATAAGCAACGGAATGTCGTACCGATGTCAATTTAGAGTACTCTCCTTCTGAAAGTGATTCCACAGATGCAGTTCCCAAGAGATATAGCTGTGATACGCAGAGTAAACTTAGAGAGCTGTCTTGAAGGAAACACATTTCTACTATTACATAGTTTAAATACTATAGTATTCCTAAAGCTTAACACATTTATCTATCAAGTTATAACATTTACCTCTCCAAATGGCACGTAAGAAGGTAAAGAAGGAACCCTGCGCCAACTATTTCCAAACCCATTGGATGAATCGGTCTTTCCTTCACTCTTCCCATTAGCTGTTTGCCCGTTACCACTTTCTGGCAATGGCTTGAGAGATATACCATCCCCACCCTCTTCAATTTCAAGAGACTGTGGTTCCATAACTACATCCTCAATAGGAGCTGACACTACAGATTCACTTGCACTAGAACTCTCTGCAGGATCCACTTTCTTTCCTTTATACCTATCCAGTTGTTTTTTAACAGCCTCAAGGGGAACAAGTCTTGAAAGCCTCCAGAATGAGTTCTGAACAGGGCCAACGCCGATGACTAACTGCTCCTGTTCTTTACCTTTCGTCTTCTCCGCCTCTGATGTCTCTCCAGCCATTGATATTCTTTGCTCATTGTAGTGATGAAAGTATGCAGGAGAAAGTATTCTAGGGACTAAGTCTTCAGGTATACAGTAGCTCTTGAAATAATGATGCCACCCTTTTTCATGTACGTAACTGCAAAACAAACAAAGCGAATGAAAAATATATGAGAATGCTCTTGCTAAGCCTAGTCATATGTTTAACTAGTACTCCAGAAAACATACTCTCGCAACGCAGCATTCCCAACAGGAGGCTGAGAAAAGGTAATACATTTGACATGAATGTTTTCATTTCCTTTCTTTGTGGAAGAGGCAGCAACAACCCTCAATATGGCGAGTGTAGCTAACGCTGCTACCTATGTAGATCAGAATACAAATATAAAACGAAGGAGTCAATAAGAAGCCATATCTAGGTAAGAAAAATCAATAAGACTTACAGCTCCACCAAGTGAATGTCCACATAATACAAGTTTTCGTTGCTTTTTCTGAGCAAGTCTATACAATTCCAGAGCAGGTATACCCTTAGCACGAGACAAGAATCCCTAGTTATTAATATTGAAAGGGTCAGTCTTGAAAAACAATAACTTATTTTAAACCTTGCATAAGATAATATAGAAAGGAAGTTTCCTACAACAGCGCACCAGAAGCATACCCGATGTGCAGCAGGTTTAGGCTTATCTCTACGTTGCTTAGCCTTCGAATCAAGAGGATTCCGCAGACCATCTCCGTTATTCTTCTGTGAATCACTTTGTATAGCTTCGGATGCTGCGATGCATTCATCCTCTGCGACATCATCTTGAAATATGTGACCTTGAAGTATATTTGCATCGGCCATGATGTCCCTAGAACACACCCAAGAATGAAAAAAAAAAACAAATCGTTTACATCTGACATCATTTTTTTCAAAGGGAATAGAAACTCTAAGACTTACTTGTATTGCCTAGTTCCCACAAAGGATGCAAATAATGTATCACCAGCCTCAGCAAGTAGATACCTGCATTTAGTTAGTTTCAGCTAGAACATTAGAAACCTCACCCATCTAGTGAAAAAAAAAAACAGAACAAAAAACATGCTATCTTCCCCTCTTTATTCTCAAGTAAATGGTGATTAATTTTATAACTTGCATATAAAGCTGCATATGAATTCTATTAACAAACAAATGTATACATTGAGATTATTCTTTTTGCTTATAAGCCTCATCAAAATCATAACCATATTAAAGCAACCATGACTCGAAAATTCCAAAAATAATTTATATAAAATACAAACCAAAGAGAGAAAAAAAAAAAGACATTAAAGGAAGTTCAAAAATCTCTCTAACCGCTAAGAGACGTAAAACAAAACCTGTGAGGAACATGATCAGATGAAGGTTGAACTCTCTCCAAGGAAACGAATTGGCCGCCAAAGTCCGCTTTAAATTTGTTTACAGCTCGAACCATCTCACTTGCAGGTCTCTGTCATAAATAATAACAAGCGTAAACAGAGTCTCTCGAATTTAGCCACCTCTCATTTAAAAAAAATGCTACATTAAAGTAATAGCTCCAGAACAGAGTATAAGAAGAAAACATAACACATAACCTATCCTTCTAACTAACTAACTAACTAACTAACAGAACACATTAGTTAATCAACATTTAACTGTAACTAACTAACTAACTAACTAATACTCCTTCTAATTCAATTGATTACCATAATCCGACACTAGATTAAAAGGATTAATTACTTTGTAAACACATTCGGACAGAACCATGCAACAGAGTAAGTCCTGTAAATCTTCAACCGACTCTGACTTAAGTGCGAGACAAAGATCCTGAATCTGCTTCTTGCGCTTCTCGTACTCGCGTCGGATCTTAACCCTCTGATCGGCATCTTCTCCGTTCCACGGTGGCCACCGGAACCTCCACTGAAGTGGTCCCCACGAGACACGTAGGAACTTCGCTCTCTGGTCTCTGATCCACGATTCCACTCGGCTCTGTATCGACTCCATTGCTATATGCTATCCTCTCTGGTAACGACTATTAGGATAATTAAAACTCCTTAGAAGACAGACAGATCGAAACTCGACAACGCGATAACTGTCGTCGGGATTCGAAATACGCGTGGAATATGCGCCTCCATCGCTAAATAGTTGAAATTGTCTATGTTTCTTGGGCCGTGTAAGGTTTATATATAGCTTTATTGGGCTTTTAGGCCCATAGTTTGTAGAGTTACTATGCGGACTCGTTATTTATTAGAACCTTCATAAATTAATATTCGATAAATTAATATATACTAATATAATTTTATAGTTTCAAATTGAGTTTTTGATTCAATTAGTATATCGATAAATTAATATGTGTCTAAATTAATAAAAACAAAATTTGGTATAGTTTCAACATTATTAATTTATAAAGGTTTCACTAGTCGCCGGTTTATCAACATACTAGTGACCAAATATTAACACTAAGTTCTAACGTTTTAAATATTTTACTGGTGTGTCTTGACGATTAATCTTCTTAAAGAAAGTTTGACATTATAACTACTCTGCTTTAGAATTTAAGTTTACTGATTTGTAACGAGAAAATGTTTGTAGAAGCAATGAGAAACTGAATTTTCTAAATACAATCAAATCGTCCATGTGTATGGCTTGAACTACCGACAACAACGAATGGTGAATTCTTATAACTTTCAAATCAAATATCAACAAATGAATTCATTAAAAATAAATATTAGCAAATGTAATGGAGAACACACACGAACATGGTCATATATGCGTTTGGTGTTTTGTTAGTCTGTTAATTCAAAAAACTTTTATAATGAATTATTTGATTTTAAAAAAGACAGCACATACCAAAGTATCTTAAGAAAATATCTACGTGAATCTGCGGAAATAGACCACTAGTGTGAGGGGACTGCAAACGCAGTTATTTTGAGATGATAAGATGAGAGTAGTAATGGTCCATACACTCCAATAACAACTCAGAATAATGAGGGAGACAAGAGAAGGTAATGTGAAAGGAAAAAAAAAAAAAACAAAGAAGTAAATGACCTAAAGTCTAAAACGTATGGAGCTCCATTATTATGCTAGAAAAAACAAATAGAGATAGAGAAAGATCATCTTCAGAAATTTAATATACTACCCAACCAAACCAAAACTCCCATACTCATGACCCCAACATTTACACTTGTCGTCATCGAACCCGTGTTCCCTGGACCTCCCGCCTGTCCGGGAGTGGCCAAACCACCTCCCGGAGCAGAGGCGGGAGCATCAGAGCCATTAAATCTCAGCACGGCTTTAGAGTTCAAATTCGCCGGAGTAAACGGATGAATACCAACACGACCATTGGTCACATTCCCACCGACCTGCCACACCTGGTTCACGCTATCCTCTCCCTCCGGAACCTTAACCGAGGTATGAATCACTATCCTATTCCCACTCAAGGCTTCAGCACGTAGATCCCAAAACTCGAAGGAAAGTCTCCCTCCGTTGTTGAGATTGTATCCACTGATGTTGTACGTTTTCACGACGGGAGGCGCGCCTGCTCCTGATCTGTAGGCGAGGAAAGCCTGAGAACCGCTCATACCGGTTGACGTCGGGTTGATAGCCCAAGCGACCCAGCCGTCGGAATGAGAAGTAGTGGCGACGAAAGCCACGGAGAGAGATGAGTTTGTTGCGTTGTAAGTGTAGTGGAGGTAGGAGTTTAGTACGGGAAGGTCTAGGCAAGTGTGAAACGGAGTTCTCTGGGTGGTGAGTATGTTTTGTGTTGAGCAAGTTTGTGAAAACGCCGGTGAGATGAGAGAGAGGAAGCAAGTAATGGATAAGACGATAAGAAGAGAAGAATGAGAAGCCATGGTTGAGAGTTCTTGTGTTGTGTGTGTTTGATAATATACATAGACATGTAACGTTATGTTTTATATAGACGTAAAAATATCCTTAAATTATGGGCATGATTCAGTGCACCGCTTCCTACGATGAAGGAATCAGGTAAAGCTCTTTAGGATGATGACACGTGTTGAGTTGACTGCTTGATGAGATAAGTCGTGAATCAGTGTTTGTTGCAAAAGAAAAAAGTAGGTGATGATTTAAAATGGGAGGAAGGATTTGGGTAGAGCGCATGTGGAGAGTGCTACAAGTGGCTTCTTTCATATTTTGTTAATACTTTATTACTATTTGTCAACTAAAGTTTTTGTGTGCAGTCAAGATGGGTTAAGATGTAATTATTTGTTAATCATATGCTGACTTTTACCTTGGGATTCGCTGTGGGACAAAACTGAAAATTTGTTTTGAAGTGAAAGAAAAGTAGATGGGACTTTGTATTATAATTTCAAATAATCACAGATACTGCTTAGTTGTTAGTTAATGATATAAGATCATGAGTTGTGTATATTGTTATCAGTCAAGTGAGGAGAACTGAGATGTAATTATTAGTTGATTTATACGCATGAATTTTACCTTGAACCCTTACTCTCGCTATATTTTTTAACGCGCATAATTCGTTTGACTTATTTATGTGTAAATGTTTGAAGTTTCTCCACCATTAGATACAATTGATCAAAGTAAAAGTTGAGAGGATTTTGTATATGAAATTCACAAAATCAACATAACCAAAAGGTGGACTAAGTGAAAATAGGAAATGAGATTCAAATTATTTATTAATAAAGTTTTTATGTTAGTTACAACTTACAGGGCAATTTGAAATTTCAAAAGGAAGTGGGTAGGGAAGAATTTTATGACCTTTTTCAAACGGCAATGTCAATTGTGTTGAACAAAGGGTATAATATAAGGTCATTTCATGTGGACTGGAAGTAAGCCAAATTTCATTTCCTTATTTGTTTTGTGTTTTCGCTTTTCTATCATAGTTGCTGGACAACTTTTAATGTATACCATCTTCCTTAATTGCCTTGTATTTTATACTCCTTTTATTTACTATATAATCATTATTTGAATTAAATTATAACTATAAACCCAAATAATTAAATTTTACTTGACGTTTATCATCTAACACCGCCTATGTGTTTCTGGTTCACGTGGTCAGTGGAAAATATATTATTCTCCTCCCATTTATAGTATATACTTTATATAAATATCTACCATATAGAGCTATAAAAAATTTGGTTAGATATTTTAATGTTTTAGATCATTCGAATCATGAAGTTTAACACCATGTATGTTTTCTACTGAATATCGCCTTGTTTAATAGAAATACCCTTGTTTAATCACAAGATCCGAATCATTTTCGTATTCTAGTTTTAAGCAGGATTATGGGGTGAGATACTGGTGTATAACAACATGCACAAATATCGACCAAACCTCATGAAAATCTTTTATACGCTATCAATCATTAATTGAAAATCTATTAAAAATCATAAAGATCATCATAGTTTTATCTAGCTTATATAAAAAGTCAACACCTAACTTTACCAATTACCAAAGTATTCATAAATCTCATGCAGACAATAGCTAGAGTAAATACGTAAGACAAAGGAATCATCACAAGAAAAGTTACATTCACGATGTGAATCGGTGTTTGTTGGAAAAAAATGGATTGGTGATGATCTAAAATGGGAGGAAGAATTTGGGTAAAGAGCATATGGAGAGTGCGTGTAGATGGGACTTTGTATGTGAATTTTAGGTAATCAGAGATTCTGCTTACTTGTTGATTAATGAAATGAGATTATGAGTTGTGTATATTGTTATCAGTTTGTGAATTGAAATGTAATTGTCAATTAATTTATAAGCATGACTTTTACCTTGACTCTCGCTATATTTTCTAACTTACATAGTTCGTTGACTTATTTGTGTGTAAGGGTTTGAAGTTTCTCCACCATAAGATAAAACTGATCAGAGTAAAAGTTGAGAGGATTTTGTACATGAAATTCAGAAAGTTGACATAACCAAAAGCTGGACCATGTGAAAATACGAAATGAGAATATAATTTTTTATTAATAAAATTTTATGTTAGTTACAGCTTACAAGGCAATTTGGAATTTCAAAAGGAAATGGGTAGAGACGAATTTTTATGACTTTTTTCAAACGGCAATGTCAATAATGGTGAACAAAGGAGTATAGTATAAGGTCATTTCATGTGGACTGGAAGTAAGCCAAATTTCATTTCCTTATTTGTTTCGTGTTTTCTTTTCTATCATAGTTGTTGGACAACTTTTAATATTTACCATCTTCCTCAATTGCCTTGTATCTTATACTCCTTTTATTTACTCTATAATCATTATTTAAATTAAATTATAACTGTAAACCCAAATGATTAAATTGTCAATACCAAATGCTGCAATATGTTCCAGGAATTCTCTCTAATCAAATATATATCTACGTGAGAAGTCAATGTTGCTATCGTAAATAAGACAATAGAAATGGTCCTCTTTTTTCGAAGTTTTCATAAGTATGGAGAATAAGACTTTAAAGGCTGCTCACATAAGCATTATTGCATACTTGACGTTTATACATCTAACACCCCCTATGTGTTTCTGGTTCATGTGGTCAGTGGAAATTATATTATTCTCCTCTTATTTATAGTATATACTTTATATAAATATCTACCATAGAGCTATAAAACAAAACAAATTTTTTTGGTTAGATATTTTAATGTTTTATATCATATCTTTCGAATCATGTAGTTTAACACCATATATGTTTTGTACTGAATATCGCCTTGTTTAATAGAAATAGAAATAGAAATAGTAATAGCCTTGTTTAATCACAAGATCCAAATCATTTTCGTATTCTAGTTTTAAGTAGGATTATGGGGTGAGAAACTGGTGTATAACAACATGCACAAATATCGACCAAATCTCATGAAAATCTTTTATACGGTATCTATCATTAATTGAAAATATATTAAGAAACATAAAGATCATCATAGCTATATCTAGCTTATATAAAAAAGTCAACACCTAACTTTACCAATTACCAAAGTGTTCATAAATCTCATGCAGACAATAACTAGAGTAAATACGCAAGACAAAGGAAGCATCACAAGAAATGAGAAGAAGATGAGTTGAAAAGGGTTAGAATTGCACACTATAGTCCTTAGATTTGCCTATGAACGTCAATGGTCTATAATCATAGCCCAACATATTTGCATCGTGGCTAATTATATTAATCTCTGAATTCACACTATTTATATGTATGAGCTCCTTATTTCCATATATACTTTTGTTCAATGTTTTATACAGTTTTTGAAAGTATTATTATATATTGATATTCCCTCACAAGTATTTCAACATAAACCATTCTGATAATTTTGGAGGCTGTCGAAGAGAAATACATCTTAATCTACAATGATTAGTTGTCTATAGCGAACACATCTTAAGTTTTTTCAATGGTTTATACATTCATTTAATGAAATTACATGAAATCTTGAGAAGGCTAAAATGTGTTGATTCGCGTGTTTAAAGAAAGTTCAACGGATGTGTATTGATGCCAAATATTGGGTATGAGTCAGACAAGAAAACTCGTCTTCCAGATGGGTTCAAGAAATGTGTTGTCCATAATACCAAAGAGCTTAAACTGCTTATGATGCATAATTGGCATGCATAAAACATTCTTTGTTGTCTCCATCAAAATGGTAACTTAAATTGTTTTGTGACAAGAAGTTGCTTGTTTCACAATAGTCTTGGAGCTGGTCTCACCAAACTTACTGTGAGGATTGCTTACATTGTGTTGACAAAGAAGAGGAAGGAGATTGTTGAGGGTGATTCTCAATTGGATGTTGTGTAGCCAAGAAAACAAGCAGAAGAAAATATTCTTTATTGAACTTCGAAATGTCTTCTTCTCCTTTGTTATGTATAAGGGATTTATAATATACAAATACTTTGCCTCCAAATGTCCCTTCTTTGAAAGATTGATTTTTTTTTTTTGTACTTGTAGTGTACCTAGTAGATAATATTTATATACTAATGTCAATGTTCTATTTATTAATCATCATGCTGAAATCTTGCTTAATTCTAAAAAAATGCCTAGTGTTAGATCATGACTGGACACACCAAACTCCAGCTAACAATTAAAATTTTCATTGGTCTTCTCTGTATTTATTTTTTATAACTGGTTGACTCTCGAGCAAAGATTGACCAAAGGACCGGTTTAAAATTGGAACTACCAACCAAAACAGGTGATGATCCCAAAAGGCGACGTCGTTTAAGCCTTTTCGGCATTTTCCCCATCTCTTGTCGGGCTGACCCGGTAAAAAAAAGACCTTTTTGCGTTTCTTCTTCATTCGAGAAATTTCGCGGCTTCGTCTCATTGTTAAACAACTCCCAGGAGATTCTACGCACGCACGCACGCGCCGCCGGAGGAAGATTAGCGTGGAGTGGTAGGAAAAGAGAATCTATTCGTTTCCATCGGATTAGCATAGAGATGGTGACAGGCGCGGCCTCCGCCATGGCTGCGAAACAAGCCGAGCGTTTAAAGGAAGACGGCAACAATTGCTTTAAGAAAGAACGTTTCGGAGCCGCCATTGATGCTTATACAGAGGTATATGAATTCACGCCTAACTTTTCTTTTCACTCATTTCCTCGTTTTAGGGTTTCGTTTTTTTTTTTGGGCGTATCCCTAGGGTTTGATTTAGATATGTGTGGAGGAATAAACCTTTGTGTACTTGTAACTGAAGCATAATTCGATTGATTGGATTCGAGAATATACAATTGGGGGCTTAGGAATCTCTCTCTCTCTCTCTCTTTATTTTGTTTATCAAAGTATGGAGAGATGTTGACTTATCATTTTTGGTTTGATTGTAAAGGCGATAACATTGTCACCGAAGGTTCCTGTTTACTGGACAAATCGAGCTCTCTGCCACTTGAAGCGAAAGTATGTGATCAATTCTTATGCCTATACATCTTGTTGTTTATGTCTTGCCTTATGGGTGGTTTTGCATCAAAATTCAGGGATTGGACTAGGGTGGAAGA